CGGCTCCCGGAGAGTTTTTCCGCGGCGGACTTGGGTCCTACCCCCCATAACTTGACCCTTCTGAGTCTATTGGTGCGGTCAATTTCACACCATTCGGCCTGTAACAGTACCTATCGGGACCGGCAACGTCGGTAAAATCCGACGACTCAAATCTCACAATTCCGGCCATCAATTCTTCAAATTGGATGAGGGGTTTTCTTACCCGTTTCCTTCTGAGTGTTGTGACACCAAATTCACTATGATCCAACGGTTAGATCGTCGGAACCACCTTTTCCCTCCACGGACGACGGTAGTGGCTCCGTTTTCCGGCCAAACTGCGACGGCGACGGTGGCTGCTGGTCGGGATCTACTGGACGTCGGCTTCTGAGTTGATTGGTGGGGGCGGTGACATCCACGACGGCCTGGAGAAAGAGAAACGACGGCGGCGGCGGCAGCGATTCCGACCACCACGGACGGCGGTGCTGTGCTCCAGCCAGAATCGAGCTGTGAAAATGGATGGGTTTTCTTCATCTCGGTGCATTGAGTCCATAGGGACTGAAATCATCTCAATCGGAGGTCGGATGGCGGAGATATCACGACGGGAAGAAATGGGAATTTCGGAACTTCCGCCGGCGATTGCGGCTGATTCCGGCGGGGTTGGAGGTCGTGCCGCATGTCGTTGAACTCAGCTCGTCGAGATCTTTCTATTGACACCGGCGGTGTCAAAAATGGAGGTCGGAATCTTAACTTGAGTATTTGGCCATTGATGGTTTGTGTGAGAGAGAACGTGAGAGGAGAGAGAGAATGAGCGAGAATAAGAGAAAGAAAGTGCAAGAACCCTAAAAATTTCACTATATAAAGTATCTGACTAAGGCAAGATTACGTGCCTGATCTTATCCTCAATTATTTCCTCTAAACAGATTAAATTTATACTGATTAGAGGTAATTAGTTTAGCTCACGTAAGTTAATCTACTACTTACAATCCAATATCAATTTCTGAATAATTCAATATTGTTTTATATTCTTACTCGCGTAATATTTCAAACTGTTTCAAGTCTTGAAATTAATTTTAGACTGAACAAATTCTAAATTTTAATTTTCTGTATTCTATCCCAAGAATGACGTTTCTGACAGTGTCAACTCCCGAGCTCATATTGTATCCATCTACTATAGGTATTTATCTTGTGACTTTAACCTAACTGTCTAGCAATTAAGGATTTTTTTCTTCTTTTAAAATGCCAGTGCGTTTTTTTTTATACGCCGCTAACATCGTGCTGTGCTTAGAGATTCTTGAAATTAAGATTCTCAAACTATACTTGTACTGAAAATTATTCCGCCTTAAAATACGGCGAGAATTTATCGATCGAATTTACTTGATCGAAACATGAACTTAACATGAAATTTGCTATAGAATTTAGGAATACATATATTAATTCCATAAATCCTCCATTCACAATATAACATAATATTTTCTAAAAAAATCATTGGCTTAAAAATACATGAATTGTATTATTTAAGGTCTGAAATTTTCTCAGTCATTACAAAAACCACCTTACCACATTGTATGACTTTTGAACCATCAAAGTTTCATTAAACTTCATTAATTTGATATTATTTTGATGTAATATTACAGTTTATAATTAACAATACCTTGTTAGTTAGGATATCTTTATACTACGTTGCTATACAGAAGTCTCCGAAAAATCGGAATGATATTTTTATTTTTGAAAACTTTAATGACAGGGTAAAAAAAATTAGAACCATCAGATTCATGACTAGGTCCATTAAATTAACATACCGAAAACTCTGGTAGTATTGCTGGAATAGGGTTTTATTTTTACCCTATAATTTTATTTTTTTTATTATATGAATTACCCCGCTAGAATAGAGTACGCAAATTCATCCTAGTAGTACTGCTTTGTGTTATGACGCTATATGATTCTTTTTAGATCGTCAAATATTGTTCTAATTTTAATTATCAGATTCTGTTACAAGTGTATATCTTCTAGTTGATATAGATTTAGTGAGAGATTTAATAGTTTAAAACACATAAGATACTTTTTTGTTTATATAATTTATTGATCCAATCCAATAACGTACATTAATCCAAGGCTCTCTTATTTGTTTATATAATTTACTTTAGGCATATAAAAGGAGTTTTTTTTTTTTTTTTTTTTTACTTTAGGGATATAATTATCAATGGTATATATGTTCTTAACGTTATATAGTTAAAATTACATTAAAGTTTAGAAAATAAAATTGAGAGAATCTAATCTAATACATATTTAAAGTAACAGAGAACCCTATTGAAAATATTTTTATACTCCATTGAAAAATTCTCCATAAATTAATTATATTAACAACTATTGCTCCCCGGCCCCCACTTTCATATACAGCGAGGGTCAGTTAGTTTATTTGTTGAAAAACTTAAACCCAACTTTGACAAACTATTATGACATATTGGTCGTTGGTTTTGTTTTTTATTTTTTACGTTTTTTGAGAAGAAAAAAATAAAAATGGGAGAGAAATGATGTTTGGCACAATTAAAGATAAAAAACGAAAATGAAAATGATTTTTTACTTTAGTGTAAAATGGGAGAGAAATGAAACATGACTTTTAGTCATTTTTCATTTTTTGTTTCTGTTTTCTCCTCTCTCAAGCATAGAGAGAGAGACAATAATGGATTTTTTTATACTGAAAACAATTTCTTGATAAAATTACCAAACACATTTTTAAAAATGATTTCTGTCTGAGATTAAAAACATTTTTATTTCTATTTTCATACAAAAAAAAATATTTTTAAACAAATTTCAAACGCACCCATTAAATTAATCCTCGTACAATACTTATTAATTATCTCAACTTTAACTAAATCTAATATTAAAAGTGTGTTTTTTAAATAATAAGCTAATCTTTGAAAAGTCAGAATAATCTTGAATTTTTACTTAAAGGTACCTATGGGAAAATTTCTTTAATTTTCGCCAAGAACATATAACATCATTTCTAGTGTTCCACACGATTACCACAATATCAACATAATTTAGTTTAGAAATTTCAAAGAATTAAGAGAGAAGTCAACATTAAGAATATATATATTCTTGCTTGAAAGTATTATGAATTACCTGTGGCTCCAACGTGAGTGCTTTGCGAGGCCAAGGTGAAAGCACTGATCAGTAAAAGAACAAAAATAATAAATTTCATTAAAGAAAACTTTTTTTTTTCAAAGAATAAATTGGAACTGGGATATTGGATCGAGTTAATTAAGGGCCCGTTTAGTTTGTTAATTTGAGTTTTTAATTCGAGTTAAAGTGTGACTTTATATGAGAGTTTTTTACTGTAGTAAAAAAAAAAAATTAAATGTGATTATTTTTAAAAACTTTTTACTGTTATAAAATTTGAATTATAAACTCGAATTGGTTGCTACATGTGTTTCTTTAAATACTGAATAGTTCCCGCTGAAAAGTCATATCCTGCGTCCTTGACTAAATTTTTATACGTTTTCTTCTTGGTGCTTTTGATAATGACAATTTCATGATTTATTTTCACACCTAGCTTTTTCTTTTTATTGCAAGAAATAAGGTTGGAATATTACTTAATTATCAAACGTACACGTTATGAAAACCGTGCATGTTTTTTACCAACATTTCCGGTCGTTATGTACATACTCGCTAGCCAATCTTCTTTTGTAGTTCCTTTTTTTTTTTTTTTTTGGCATGTTATTTTTTAGTTACATGCTGAATTATGGACTTGAGAGTAAAATAAGGGCTCCGACATTAGACCATAGCTTTCTTTAATGAGAGTTGATCTTAAAGGTTAAGCGTGTTACCACTTTGATCAACCATATGAGGACAACTATTTTTGTGGTTGAAATTTCTTCAATATATACACACACACATATATAGTGTGTTTATATGTACACACACTTGCACTCAAAAAAAAAAAAATCCAAAACAAAAGAAAGAAAGAGAGAAAATCTTTTACCCAGCCAAAAAGTTATAGAATATTGACGTTCCCCAATTCAAAATCATGAAATAGAAAATCTAACTGCGTTGAACTAATTTTGATAGAGTTATTTTAAAAGCATTTTTTCCCTTTTTTTTTATTAGAATCCAGCACCTACAAATTTGATTTGCCTAATATCACTACACAAAATCGCTTTGGAGTTATTTTTGTAATTTTTTTTTAGATAAATCTCCATAGTCACTCATTAAGTGTTGCTATATTTAATGGGTGACAATCCATAAAGACGTGATTATTAAAAACTCATCCATATATATAGAGATAAAAGGTTGGAACCCGGGCCTATGGAAGTCACCCATAATATAAGCCGAAATATCATCACTAGACCCTAAACAAATCAACAAGCTCTTAATTTCTGGGGGTAATTTTCAGAAAATTCATGCAAAAAATACTCATTAATAGGGAATCAACTTTTGTGTCTCTTTATTTTTGTTCTTGTCATGTCCCTCCAGTAATATTATGACACATCAATTAAAATATTACGTTAATTAAAAAATTCTTATCAAGTTAATTAAAAAGTTATGGTGTAATATGTTACTATTTAGGGGACACGGAAAGGGTAGGAAAAAGAGTATATGAACCTATTCCCATTAATAGACCATTTTCCGTTCACAATAAATAAAAACGAGACTCTAAAGAGGACGTACGAAAAAGTCAGGTAAGTAACTTATCTACCAATATTGTGTACAGAGCTTTTTTTTCTTTTTTTGGCTAGATCAGGTACATATAATTAATGAGGTAGTTAGTTGGGTATGCGATGTGAATATCCTTTAAAAAAATAAAAAATAAAAAAGCGAAAACAAAAACAACTTGAGATGTGTACACGCAATTGAAAGTCATGAGATACTTATTATATGTTTTTGACCTTGATACATTAAGCATTTCAGATTTAATTAGGGGGAAAAAGTGTACATGTCTCACAATTTGTAAGGGACAAAGCCTTGAAGTTAAGATGGAAAATTAGTAGAAATTATACATGGGAAAAATGTTAAGTAAAGCATGACTATAAATGGGGAAATTGCCATCAAAATCTTATATATAGTATATATGTGTGTATGTATATTCCAGCATCAACAAACACATATCTTGAATTTAAAGGCTGACCTTACATCTCTCCCGCGAACAACTCAGCCTCTTAGAATAAACACTAAAAACAAAATTAAATAAAATAATTAACTTATTACTAATCGCTGTAATATTGCAAACTAGGCAAAAACTATGATGCCCGTTTCACCAACCTTAATTCTCTGATTCTTCTCCAATCTCCACTCAACACCAAACAAAAGAAAGAAAGGGAAAAAAAAAAGAAAGAAAACAATAACCAAAACAAAAACAAAGAAGCACAAAGATCATCTGCAGGAAAGGAAACAAAAACAACACGCTGACATTACTCATGCATGTTCCGTGATTTGCCGTCGTTTTGCCTAATTTAGGCGTCGTTTCATTGCTAATGGGGCGCGTGCGCGTGGCCAGGCTTCTGCGCGCACCAACCCCACAAACATTGTTCACAACAACGACAATATTGATCTTCTTGTTCGTCGTCTTATCATGCTCCGTAGTCATTTCCTCGGCTGCACCGGACTCTGCCGTCGACGCCCTCATGCGGTTCAGGAACTCGCTATCGGACAGCAAATCCCTCGCCAACTGGGACCCGCAAACCGCCCCATGCAACGGCAACAGGGCGAATTGGGTAGGCGTCCTTTGCTTCCACGGCAACGTCCGAGGCCTGCAGCTGGAGAACATGGGGCTGAAGGGCATCGCCGACGTCGCGTCGCTCGCCTTGATGCCCCATTTCCGAACGCTGAGCTTCATGAACAACACCTTGATCGGTCCAATCCCGGACCTCAAGAAGCTGAGCAGATTGAGGTCGGTGTACTTGTCGTACAACCATTTTTCGGGGGAGATCCCGGACGATTGTTTTTCGGGAATGCGGTTTCTCAAGAAGGTATTGCTTTCGAACAACGAGTTTGAGGGGAAAATCCCTTCATCGCTCGTAGGATTGGCTAAACTTGTTGTGTTGAGGCTTGACGGGAACAAGTTTGAGGGAAGAATACCATCTTTTGGACAGCAGAGTTTGAAGAGGATAAATGTGTCCAATAATGCATTGGAGGGTTCTATTCCGGATACCCTAAACAAGATGGATTCAAGTGCCTTTTCAGGTAATTATAAAACTATATACATATTAATTCCAAAAATATCACGCATGCATATATAATTTAAACATTCTTCTATCACAATATTGGAAATTTTGACTTTGGAATGAAAGGAATTACAATAGATAAATTAAAGAACCTTTGAATCTGCCTCTATTTGTATATATGATGAGTATTAATGTTAAGAATTTTCTTTAATATCATGTAACTATTTATATGCTAACCTTGAGATCACCTATATAATTTCTATTTTTTAAAAAACTTTAGAATAATTGGCTCCAGAATTTATGTTTAAATTACATGCATGTAATTTTGTAATTAGTTAAAAGATTAAAATTGATGCATATATTTGATTGGTTTATAGTGCAAGTGATATACATGTATATATATATATATAAATATATATATTTATATATATATGTATATATAATCCAATTGGAAAATGATGAATTTGCTTATTCATTAGTTTGAATATAATGTGAATATTGTTTATGCAGGTAACAAGAATCTATGTGGACCTCCCCTTGAATCATGCAGCTCCCTTACAATTAACATCTACCCTAACAATGACAAGAAGAGTACATCTGAAATTAAAATTGTCCTAATAGGGTTGATCATAGCCCTTATAGTAGCCATTCTTGCTGCGGCTTTCATCATAGCTAGATCAAGAAGGCGAAATTCACAACTAGACCGGTCTTTAACATTGAACGATCGTCATTTTAATACGTTCACGACGTCTTACGGGCTCATGAACAACCAACCATCCGAGCCAGAAGCCACTCCGAACCCAAGGAGGGCAACGGAAGGTAAGTTGTCGTTTTTGAGGGACGACAGGCAAAGATTTGATTTGCACGATTTGCTGCGAGCCTCGGCGGAGATCTTAGGCAGTGGAACATTTGGGTCTTCATACAAGGCTAACATATTGTGTGATGCATTGGTTGTGAAGAGATATAGGCAGATGAACAGTTTGGGAAGAGAAGAGTTTCATGAGCACATGAGGAGGTTGGGAAGATTGAACCACCCAAACTTGCTGCCCCTTGTGGCTTATTACTATAGGAGAGAAGAGAAGCTCTTGGTTTATGACTATGTGGAGAATGGAAGCTTAGCCTTTCATCTTCATGGTGAGTTCACTATTAAATTAATTAATCTCTTATTGTTCTTTTATCTGGTGATGAGTATTATTTTTGTGATCTTAAAACAATAGTCGTGTAATTAATAAAAGCATCTAGAATTAACTTTATGAATAATTATAGAGGTATTATTTACAATCTTCTCAGGAGGATTTTACTTGCTTAACGTGACATTTCTTAAACATAAATTCCAAAAAAAAAATAATAATAGCCATGCTTAATTTCTTAATTGACCTTGGCACTTGTAATAATAATATAGCTAGTCCCAATATGTAAGTAACAAAAGCATATTGTAGAATTAACTTCATGAATAAATATTTCAAACAATGACAATTATGGCTGAACTAATTCTTGACTTTGGCAATTGTAATAATCTGATTGATCGAATAAATTAATTTATGTTGATTAGGCAATCGCAGCATGGACCAACCGGCGCTAGACTGGCCAACCCGCTTAAGAATCATCAAAGGCGTAGCCAAGGGCTTGACATACCTCTACAACGCACTACCAAGCCTAGTAGTCCCCCATGGCCATCTCAAGTCCTCCAACATCGTCGTCACCGACGCCTTTGAGCCGCTGATGACCGACTACGGCCTCCTCCCCGCCATCAACCTCGACCACGCGCAGCACCTCATGATGGCCTACAAGTCCCCCGAGCACGCCAAGCTCGGCCGCATCACGAAGAAGACCGACGTCTGGAGCCTCGGGATCATCATCCTCGAAATCCTCACCGGGAAGTTCCCGGAGAACTACCTGACGCAGAGGTACGACCCCAACGCCGACTTGGCGGGCTGGGTGAACGAGATGATCAAGGAGAAGAAGACGGGGCAGGTGTTCGACGCCGAGATGGGAGGCGTCAAGAACAGCAAAGGGGAGATGCTGAAGCTGTTGATGGTGGGAGTGAGTTGTTGTGAGGAGGATGTGGATAGGAGATTGGATTTGAGTGAGGCTGTTGAGAAGATTGACAAGCTGAGTCATGATGAGAGGGAAAATATTGTTAATAATCATAATAATAATAATATTGTTGATGGGGAGTTTTTTCATGGTATTAATGTTAATGGAGAAGAAGAAGATGGGTATATTTCAAGAGCAATGTTATAATTTTGAGTACTTAATTTGCAGGAGTAATGTATTTATCTAGGAGTTGATCATGCACACAGAATATATGCATTCTTTTGATACGTACTGGGATATTATTATAATTTCCTTTCCATTTTTTTTTTTTTTTTTTTTTTTTTTTTGGGATACTAAAGTCGTTTGGGTTTGTAGTTTAGGCCTTCTCGGACTAAAATCTTTTCTTCTCATGTAAAGAATTTGATGGGCACTAGTTATTCAACAAATGTGCATTTTGTACTCTCTCTTGCTCACATAGCTTCCATCAAATCATTCCTACATGTTCAACAACATTTTGGTTCGAAATAGTTTTTTCTCTTTACTTTTCAAGACAAATTTTTTTTTTTTTTTTTTTTTTTTTGGTTCGAAATAGTTTTTTTTTTTTTTTTTTTAAAAAAAATTTTTTTTTTTTTTTTTTTTTTTTTTTTTTACTAAAGTAATTTTCTTTGTAACATCATGAGTAGCTGGGTAATGCTAAATACTTGAGAAAACCACAATTTGATATTTTCATCCTCGACTATAATTAACGATTGTCAATTTGTTATTTTTTGAATATGCATTTACCAATTGATAAATCTTAAAATGAAAAAAATAGGAATTATAAATACTTTATCTTCTAATTTTTACTTTGATAATTAAATGAAAATGTTTTAAGTCTGGCAGCCGGATCAATTCGAAAAATGTAACTTTTTCTATAATAACACTTGAATCGTTTAAGTATAACATTAAAAAAAAAATTGTAGTTCTGCGCCTGTAATATTGAAGTATTACACCTAAACACATAGAATATTACACCCACTTACAAGTAATGTTATACGAGAATAAAAATAGTTACATTTTTTGAATTTAGACGGCTGCCGAATTTAAGAATTTATTTAAATATTTATCAAATTTATTGTAAACAGATTTTTATTATTTTTTTAATTTTATTTTCTTTTTCCTTTTTTGAAACTTTATTTTTATTTTCTGAATATACTAGCTCCTTAATTTACAAAAAATAATATTTTACCTTTTTTTTTAAAAATAATATTTTACCTTGGTTTAAAAAAGTCCCAAATTCCTCTAAAAAAGAAAGCCCCAAATTAAAAACCCTAATCCCCAAATTAAACCCTAAACGTAAAAACCCACCCAACTCCAACCAGCCGCCGCCAGAGAAGACGATGCGCCAGGTACCGGAGCCACGAAAGGTCGGGACTCTACACTGAGACGGCGATGGCGGAGGCTCTCGACGGTTTTTCTCGCAACGGCAGTGGCTGGGAAAGAATCTGGGCGGGGGCAATAAAAGTGGAATTTTCGAGAACTTTAGCACAGAAATATGCTATTTTTTGTCACCTAAAACGAAAGAGCTAAAAAATTATGCTATTTTTACCTCCTTTTCAATCCTAATAATGAGGAGCCTTGACTTAAGGAGAACCTTAGGCAGTTAAGCCGGCATTGAACGGTAATAACAATAACTATCAGGTGTTCTTCTACTTCCCAAAAAAAAAAAATTTTAAAATTAAAAAACTAACTTTTTTTTAATTATAGAAATTTTCTGTAGATTTTGTCCTTGTTCCTTTTTTCTTCTTCTTCTTTCTTTGGGTTCAATAATTTATTGACATTATTGATGTAAAAAGAAAAATGTGGCAAACAAGAAAAAATGATCTAAAGAAAGGAGGAGGGAATGGATTGGTAGCAGTGGCTATAGACAAGGATAAAGGAAGTCAATTTGCTCTGAAATGGGCTGCAGAGAATATTCTTTCTAAAGGCCAAGTTGTTGTTTTAATTCATGTTGTTCATAAGCAATCTTCCAATACTCCTTCAGGTATAATAATATCTCTTTGTAATTTTAATGTAACTAAAAAAATGATTTTGTTTTACACACACACACACACACACACACACACACACATAAATAAATATATATATGTATATATATATATATAAAGTGTAACATTGAAGGTGTTATATTGTCTTGATTAAACAAGGGATTAATGTCATCAAATTAATGGGTGAACCTCAAAATGTGTCAGTGAAACCTTAAATTACTTGGCAAGAGAAAACAAAACCTCAAGTGAATAGTTTGTATTGAATTTGTTCACTATCAAGCTTTAGTTTGTGTTTCTCTTTTTAATAGATTTTGTTGAGCAATGAAAGCAATCATATCTCTCTTGTCCAGGTTGTAGGCGTAACTTTAGAGGTTCTTTGTTTTTTTTTTTTATAAGTATTGTTTATTTTTATGTTGGTCATAACTCAACAATGATGAATTCTGTTAAAAGTGTGAGAAAATTTTGATTGAGATTAACTAGAAAGAATAATGCAAATTTAATTGTAACTAACACATAAATCACACCCGATTTCATTGATTGTATTAAATCCTACTATGTAACATCATTATGGAAAAATTATTGAAAAACTTGACTGTCTTTAGTTCAAGGATTAATTAGACAAAAAAGCATTGCATATTAAGAAGTTCGGGGTTGAAAAACGGATTACACACTCTAATTGGGGCGGAATCGATGATATGAAGTACTAACCCAATTTTTATATGTAAAAAGATGAGTGAAAAGTCATGTTGCAATTTACATATCCATTAAAAAAAAAAAAAAACCCTGTTGGATAATGTTGCTAAGACAATTTGACCATTATGATTTGCTGTTACTTGCTTGATTTGCTTATTTCATAATGGCAAGAGATGATAAAGAGTTATGGTGTGATTTGTGGCTGCAGTGGGGGGAAGTCATGCAATTATATGTGATGCCAACAATTCAGGTGGATCACCACATAAGCAGCTACTTGAGAAGCAAACCAGAGATCTTTTCCTTAGCTTCCATTGTTTTTGTACCCGTAAGGATGTACGTCTTTGCCATTTTTCACTTCATCCTATTCTCGTAATATAGAATCATGAGACTAGTAAGAATGTTGCTGCTACTAAATGGTCATGATCAAAATCCTATTAAAAATGCATATGAATTGGATTGTGCACATAAAATGTGTATGAATAAATGCGCCACATGATATGAAAACAAGACGATCGATATAGTACTTGTTCTTTGTAGCTGGAGAGGTCCCATTTTTCCTTTTATGACAAACTTGTTTCCTTCTGTGTTTTTTGATTTATTTATTCATTTTTCTCTCCGTCAGATACAATGCCTTGATATCGTACTTGAAGACTCGGATGTAGCAAAAGCATTAATAGAGTATGTCTCGTATGCTGCAATTGATAGCTTGATTATGGGTAGTCCCTCAAAGCATGGTTTTATCAGGTAATTGATTTCTCTATCAATTTTATTTGTACGCATTCAATGAAAATGGAAATTTACTCGCCAAGATCATCTCAGTTTGAGAGCTCGAGAAGTTATTGCCAATCATAAAATGCACTCTTTTCCTATGAGCTCTGGGGCAATAGCTCCTTACTTTGTAACGCGCTTTTCAGAGAAAAGACACATAGAAACAATAGATGATCATAGATATATGTATAAAGTATAAACTAATGAGTCTGGATATCACAAGGGGGAAAAAACAAAAGGGATATATGTGTGGACTAATGACAGCTTCCTTATATTTAACGGTTTCTATCTTTAGATTCAAGGCATCAAGCGTTCCTAGCAGTGTATCAAAAGGGGTACCTGATTTCTGCACGGTTTATGTGATTTCCAAAGGAAAGGTCTCCTCACAAAGAAATTCGTCCCGACAGGCCCCATACTCTTCTCCGCTGCGTAGCCACATTCAGAACCTAACTAAGGAAGTTGTTAAGACAATTGACCAACCTAAACCGAGATTGAGCATAAGAGGTTTGTATCTCTCAACTGTAAGCTTTCTCAAAACAATGTTATAATAGGGTGCTTGTTTGAAATATAACAATGTCTCCACGGATATGCAGCAGCAGACAGAGTATCATTCAAGCCTCGCAACTTGCACGATGAATCAATAAGGTGAATAAGGCAAAATGACTGATAATTTGGGATTTGAGATTATCTCATCCATTAGGAATGTTTATTTACTTTATTAGATTGAATTTTTCTTTTATCTTCTAGTCTTTTATTCTATTTTATATACGTTTGTTTTGTAGTGAATTAGGATTCCATCTATAAATAGGCTTCGGTTGTATTAAACATTAGAAGATGCATAGAGAATATTGAGTTATTCCCTCTCTTGATTCTCTGGTTTCTCTATCTACGTCAATTCTTTCTTGGTCCCGCATCAGTAAAAAAAAAATTGATGAATACAACAATGGACAATCATATGGTGAATTTGTGCTGTATAGAGTAGTGAATACTGTGTAATTCTTCTGAAATCTGATCCTGTGACCGTGATCCAACACAGGTCTCCATTTGCTAGAAGAGGTTTTCCCGGGATTTCTCCTAGTCGTTTGTCTGAATTGGATGATGACATATCATTTGTCAGCTCTGACAGGCCAAGCACAGATAGAACATCTTCTGTTCTCTACGATTACATGGATCCAGGCCGAACCTCACGGCTTTCTACCAGCTCGGACAACAGCTTTGGCTCATTCCGATCCGGTCCAAAGTTCACGGACCTCAGTTTGCTGCATGATGTCTCGTTTACGATGGAGAGTGGCCGGACGTCGTGCTCATGGTCATCACTGGGTATGGTATGGATATGATCACTTCGACAGAAACATATATTCACCACACACATAACAATGCAAGCAGTTGGTAGTAATCTCAATGGACTCGCATGTTTAAATCTAAAAGTCTACAAGTAAGAGGTTTTATATAGTTAAGTTTCTTGGGTTAAAAGGTTTCATATAGTGTAAGATGCATCTAAACTGGTATATTTAAAGAAACTGCTTCCGTCTGAGTATAACCACTCAGTTCATCAGCACTATGATCTCAACAATGTTATATAATTTTCTCCTTAAATTTGAACAAGATCTGATATGCATTGTCTTTCTCAATAACCCCCACTGAACTACTTCAGCTGAAAAACAAAAGGAAAAAAAAAAAAGAAAAGAAAAGACTGCTGAATTTGTTTAAGATTGTACTATTAGCTGCAAAATTTTACCATTCTAAGAGTATGGGAAGATTTGTTGAGAGGATAGTCTTCCTGCAATAATACTTTTATAGCTACAGACTCATGTGGAAGTTGTTCAATGGCAACTTTAAGTAAACGGGTACTAACTAAATGGATACTAATAAAAGATTATGAGCTCTCAACAATGAACAATGTCTGAAAAGAATTCTCTTTAGCATTGAATTATGCTATTTTAATTTCAGATTGTATCTCTATTATGGTTTAGCATGGTTACCTAGGATAAACAGCTTGGTGACAACTTTAAAGCAGGCAGTGCAAGTTCTGACTAAGTGACTTTTTGTACTTGATCCGGCTGAGGCTCACTTCGATTTGATTTGAAACACGCAGGACGATGTTGAAGCTGAGATGAAAAGGCTGAAGCTCGAGCTAAAGCAAACAATGGACATGTATAGTGCTGCCTGTAGAGAAGCATTAACAGCAAAGCAGAAGGTAATAATAAGATTATCAGATGAAATTCTTCATGTCCCTATATGCCAATGACATGCTATGTGAATTCACCCGTTTTGCTCTAGTAACGTTATTCTATTCTTTTCTTTTTCTCATCCAAAAGAAATGTGATTTATACTGAAGGAAAAGGAGCTGAATCACTGGAGACTTGAGGACGAGCGAAAGCTAGAAGAGGCACGACTGGCTGAGGAAATTGCACGGGCAACTGCAGAGAAAGAGAAAGCCAGGTGCAGGGCTGCCGTGGAAGCAGCAGAAGCTGCTAAGAGGATTGCAGAGCTTGAAACGCAAAAAAGAGCATCCACAGAAGTGAAATCGCTCAAAGAAGCGAAGGAAATGCGAAAGTTGTTGGATAATCTAGCCCAAAGTGATGGCAGATATAGGAGATATGGTATCGAAGAGATTGAAATAGCGACGGACTTCTTCTCCGAAAGGCTCAAGATTGGGGAAGGGGGTTATGGTCCAGTATTTAAGTGTTACCTCGATCACACACCAGTTGCAGTCAAAGTTCTGCGTCCAGATGCTGCTCAAGGAAGGTCACAGTTTCAGCAAGAGGTAAGTAACTTGAATTGCTAATAATATATAGTCTTTATTGATTGAAAACTCAAACAAAAAAACTTGATTCCAGTCCAAGTGAGATATGATTGGTTTGAGCTTTTATGGTTTGAAAGGAGAGTTTGAAACATGTGGTTTGAGTTTTTGGTTAACAACATTGAAAACATAGGGCATAAACTCTGAATTTGGAGGTTTTTTGGTTCACGACATCAAATCATTGATTTGAACCAAGCTTCAAAAATATTTGTAAACGCTAATTCATTTGAACCTTTTGGTTCAAAGCATTATCTATCAAGTAGACCCACAATTTGCTAATATTCTTAGCTTTCCTACGGTCACACATTGTAATCCTCAGAATGTAAAGGAAAAAGAAAAGGACAATTTTTAACAAATATTGCAGGAAGGGTTGTTTAACTTTTCCATTATATTTCAAGTGTAGATTGACATACTCAGCTGCATAAGGCATCCCAACATGGTGCTTCTTCTAGGAGCCTGTCCAGAGTATGGAATTTTAGTATATGAATATATGGCCAAAGGAAGCTTAGATGACAATCTTTTCCCAAAAGGGAACACCCCATTTATGCCTTGGCAAATCAGATTCCGTATAGCAGCAGAAATTGCCACGGGTTTACTCTTTCTTCATCAGACCAAGCCGGAACCATTAGTGCACCGCGACCTCAAGCCTGGAAACATCTTGCTGGACTACAACTATGTCAGCAAGATAGGTGATGTTGGACTCGCCAGGCTTGTCCCGGCGATTGCTGAAAACGTAACACAGTACCACATTACTTCCACAGCTGGAACTTTCTGCTACATCGATCCGGAGTACCAACAGACAGGAATGCTTGGTGTGAAATCTGACGTCTATTCCCTAGGAATCCTTCTTTTGCAGTTGATAACAGCCAAGCCGCCAATGGGGCTGACACACTACGTTCAAAACTCTATAGAGAGAGCGACATTTTCAGAGATGCTCGACCCGGCAGTGACTGATTGGCCCCTTGAAGAAGCCTTGTGCTTCGCAAAGCTATCGCTACAGTGTGCAGAACTCAGACGAAAAGACAGGCCGGATCTTTGTACTGAAGTTTTGCCACAGCTAAACAAGTTGAGAGAGTTTGCTGATTCAAAAATGAACTACAATTTCTTTGCAGGCGGTGCTGGTTTCTTTCCGCATCACAGCAATAGTTCCGTCCAACAAGTAAGTCGGGAGAATTCAAACGTTTGAAACCATTTGGACACCTAAAATGAGACAGGTGCTTATTTATTTTTTATTTTTTATTTTTTTTCAGACAACTGAAAACAGAAAGCTTTTGAATCAAAGATTCATGGCTTAATATAACTAATTGATAGAATTTAAAATTATTTTTGACTCACCTCCTAACAGCTTGAGCTTTTTCGGAAAAATGGTAAACTTATATGGTATCACAGCAAGAAGTCTTGAGTTTATAACAGAGGAAGATATGATTAGTTTCACAAATGACAATCTTTCATGCCTCATGGTATCGAAAGCTGCATACCTCTGCTAGTTTACTCCTAATTATACTTGCATAATCATTATGACTATGGCATATGGCCTATTGTTTGGAAACTACAAAACAATAAATTCATGGTTTCCAGAAAACCAAGAATAATATCTATTTATGGCATTTGAGACATGTATAAGGTTTATTCTTGCTTGGAGATTAAGCTACCTTTGTAGAAAATCTTTGGAGGTATAACATGGCAGGGAAATCATTTTTGCAGGAGGTAATAATTGATCCGCGGCCCGGAATTTCTCATTCATGCGCATCATCAGTGGCGGGAAACTAATCAAGTGCAGGTTGAGAAAAGTGTTGCCAAAGAAGGCATTGAAGATAGAAACCTAGAGGCTTTAGCAGACAGACAATGGCAGCTCCTGTGATGCAATATGGAAAATCCATATTACTCTATATGTTGTTCCAGACTTCCACTGTTTGCATTGAGTTGGCAATAAATCTATTTTGTTTAAAGTTTGAATAGACTAAATCTAGAAAAGTATGCCAGAAAGTAAAAGAGAAGCCATAAACGTCAAATTCCAAGTTCCTGAGGGTCTAAAGTATGTTCTCATGTAAAAATATATGACAATGAAGTGTCACATGTAGATATGGACGACAATAAAGATTGAAAATGAAGAAAAGAGTGCATTTTGTTTTCACTGCGATGATATCAATTTGAAGTTTGTTTGATACACGCACCCATTTTCAAAATATCTAAACTCCATGTCTACAATTAGAGGACGATGAATTCCCACCTTGATCAGTGTCCCTTGGATATGCTTTATTTCTTTTTTTACTTGTATAGGCATCCAAATGAAAAATCCTTTATTTCTTTTTTGACTTGTATAGGCATCCAAATGAAAAATCTTTTACTTTTTTTTTTTTCTTAATTGTACATTTTTTCTTAGAATTTAATTGCGCAGTTTTGAATCTTTAAAACATCATCAAAATACATTATATTTCGATGGGATATAATAATGGAAATACATTCCAGCAAAAAGTAAGACTATATCCGTTCCGTCGTTCAAGTTGATAATTTGAGTTACAAAGTAAATTCGTGTAAAAGAAAACACTGCAACAATAAAAATTAAATTTAAACTTGAATTTTTATGAGAGAAAATATTATAGTAAAAATTTACATTATGATTTGAACTAACGAAGCGAACTAGATCTAAAGATATGCACGTTTGATTTCGACCACACTTCTTTTTTAGAATAATTTCGACCGCACTTTTTGAACAAAATTTGAACCAAAAGGTTTATATACACACTGGTTTGAATCCTCCAACCAAACCATACCTATTTTAGATGGCATAAACATAAGGAAAATTTTCATATTAATACTCTATGTGTGAGCATAATTGTATTTTAGTACTATGTGTTTTTAATAATTTTAAATTTGTATGACGTTTTAAAAAATTATTTTTTAATATTTTAAGGTCATTTTTAAAATGTAAAATATCAAAGTTATCATTCTTATTAATTAACAAAAAAAGTAATAATAAATTTTGAAAAATTTTGACTTTTTTTAAACATTTAAAAATAAAAATAAAAAATAATGCTTTAATTAAAAATAATTTTTTTCAAATCTTTTCAAAAAATTTTAATTTTTAGTAAAATAATGAGAAAGTTAAATTTAATATTATACTTTCAAAAAATAAATATTAAAAATAATTTTTTAAAACGTTGAGGTACTAATTTATAATTACTAAAATCACATAATACTAAAATATAATTTTGGATACCAATATAAAGTTTTTCCCGACGGCGAAAAAAAATTATTTAGGTAATTTTCTCTTTAATAAATAAATAAAAAGCTAGAACTTAATACTGGATTCCGCTAGATTCATCTTCGAAATGTGCAAGTTTTAAGAAAAACACGCGTCGTTTCCAGAATCCCAACAATAGACAATCTGTCACTTCAACCGGATACGTGTCCAGTGGGCAGTTTCTAATCGTTGCTTATTCATAAACAAAGAATTCACCGTCGCTTATTTTTTATTTTTTATTTTATTTTTTGCAAGTAAAAAAGAATTCACCGTCGTTTTACTTTGCTATTAATAGAAAATAGGAGTAGAAACTAAAGACAGACAGATTCTCTGTTTTCTCAAATCATAAGAAGAAGATCATATCATAAATCAATAGTATCAAATATTATTAAGAATGGGACAAGGCGAAGATGTCAAGACCAGACCTGATCCGGAGGTCGAAATTCAGGTCATTTCTACTCTATACGTAATATCTTATGTCCGTTCATTTTGCTGATTCGAGTTTAAAATTTGAGTTTTTTTATAGTAAAAAGTTCTCACAAATAATCACATCTAATTTTTTTACTACAGTAAAAAGCTCTCGTCACATCTCAACTCAAATTTTAAACTCGAATCAGCGAAATAAACGGGGCTTAATCTTTTACTTTTCATAAATTGGTTTTTTTTTGTTTTTAAATTATAATTTTGGTGTGTAGGAGAGAGGAGAAATATTCTTCTTCTACAGGCCAAAAGTAGAGAGAGAAGAAGCGCATAGTCCGGAGGATGTGCAAAGGCTGTATATAGTTCTGAGGGCGGAGTCCGGTGAAAGGCCCGTTGAAGAGAAGCAGGACCCTCATTCTGGCAAGGAAGGTTCCAAGAAAATCAACAATGATGATATTGGCTCTTCTACTCAAGGTGGTCATGGAAGCCAGGTATTTAATTATTCATTCAAGTCCTTTCTTCGCGTTTATTTTACCTACTTCCCGTTTCGTTTTTGGGTTTAAACCATTATGCTCTTAAAAAAACGTGAATAAAAAATTCTCGTCAATAAGTTCTCAAACTAAAACTATGTTCTAATCCCATGAACCAAAGAAAAAAAAAACTCTTATTACTTGCTAATTCGAATGGTATTGATCTGATGAATATTAGGAGGTGAACATAGAGAAGCAACCTCTGCTGAGGTTCATTGTGATGGGGAAAAAAAGCCTTCCTGATCCAGCCAAGAAGAGCCTCCCTTATTGGGGCTATGTAGAATTAGTCACCACTGACATAGAAGATATCAAGAATGCGCTCAAAGGAGGTATATATATTATATGTTATTATTTCTTCACCCACTAAATTATTCCCTCATATATTCACATTTTCTTTGTAAGATGATTTCTCATAACGTTATGCATGCTGCACTCATTTAATAGTCCCAACAATTTGAACTTTGTTGTGATTAAGTTTAACAAATCAAAGATGGATCAATAACATTACATTTGATGTTGCTTCATTTGCTTTTATATTGAATCCTTAACACTTGCGTTCCATAAATTCTTTTGTCATTTTAGTATTTGGTTATGTTCTTACATAACTCACTAATTAGATAAAATAAAACAAGACACTCTTCTTCTTAAGACTTAACAAGACGATTTTAAAGAGTAAAATAAACTCGAGTCTCTTATCATTAAAAGACAAGAATGACCACCTATTTTATTTATAAGGATATTAATCCACCCCACTTCCTTTTAATGCGGAAACCTAAGTCTTTAATAAGTTCAAATTCCATTAACTATAACCATTTGCGGTCAATATTATTACAATCATACAATGATGTTCTGCTGCATATACGAGTACTTATACGTATATGCCTCGCAAATGAACTGCAGAGGAGTATGATACTGCAACAAGAGGTCACCGCCACAAGCCGGCTGCGAGAGCCCTAGGTGAGGGTGTCTACAGAATTCTGAGGCACAACCCGAAAAAGAGAATGCACACACATTTGGTCTACAAGCTGGAACTCCCACCCGAGAACAAGGCGAAGATGGAGCCCCAGGAGTCTCAACATCGAACGACAAGGCTCGTTTCTGATCCAGATAAAGAACCCGGAGCAGCCGGGGAGTCCCCGGTTCCGGGGTCTTCAGAACAAGCGCAGGGCCGCATTCCCCGCCCATCTCCAAGGCCAGTTTGGACATCGCAGGTTCGCTGCCGCCGATCCGCCGGATTTCTTGAACTACGAAGGGTGCGAGTTCTTGCTCATCGCGGCCTCGGATGACATAGAAGAGGAGTTGGGGCTTGATCTGAAGGCAGAGGAGTGTGATCAGGAGGAGAAGTCTTGTTCCGACTTGGTTCGGACTTTTGGTGAGATTGGTTCGGCTAAACCCCTTTTCGAAGGGACTTGGGCATGATTGAAGAATTAATGAAAATCCCTTGGTTTTGAACTCTGTTGACTCTTTTGTATGATGTATGTAGTATATACGTTCTGTTAGCAAGAAAAGCACTGTCGTTTAAGTTTGTTGTGTTGTGTTGTGTTGTCAAAGGTAGGTAGTTTAGTTGCATGTTTTGCAGGCAGGGGACGTATATTATGGGCAAATGGAAGTTCTGACGAAATAACTCTTTTTTTTTCCCCCTTCTTTTATTGTTCTATATGTACGGTTTGCGATGAAAGGTAGAAGTACTATTCGTACATGCATGTTGTTTCCAGGTACAATTGCTTCCATATTTACGAACTGTTTGTGTTGATGTTACCAACTCTTATGCAGGTAAATATAGTTTAACATTATTATTAGTTTTATAATTACTAGGCTTTTTCACTCGGACAATTTATTGGATCCACTAGTGGAATAGAAAAGCCACTGACGCACTTTACTCGTTAAAGTAGCGTACAAGTAGTTTATAGTTACCCCATAAAAAGAGTCTATAAAAGTAGCGTACAAGTAGTTTATAGTTACCCCATGAAAAAAAAAGGTCTAAAGTTACAACAGTCCAGTTCATATTCAGTCCAGTTAAAGTTGCAATAGTCCAGTTCATATTTGGTAGGTCGATAATATTTGAGTTTTTAATTTGGGTGAGATGTGGTTTTATATAAGAATTTTTTATTGTAATAAAAAAATTAAATGTGACTGTTTTTAAAACATTTTACTGTAATAAAATTTAAATTTTAAATTAAAAATATTTTATTGTAATAAAATTTAAAATTTAAAATTGTTTAAATTTTAAACTCGAATTGATGAAATAAACGGGACTTTAAACTTTACTGGGGACGAAGAATTGATCATAGCGTGTTTTAGGTGAGAAAGTGTTGCTATTTGGAATAGCTGTGGATTTTCTCACAGAGGTGCTAAATGCAATTTCCAAATTCACCAAAATATTCTCAACATTTTTCTTCCCAAAAGTTATCCGCGCATGGCACGTGCACAGAGTTTAATAATTAGTAGCTAGTAAGAAAACAACTAGATACTAGTGAATACATACAAAAAGAAGATGACAACTCGAGCTTGACAATGCAGAGACAGAAGGATTAAAATTTCACAAGATAACATGTCGTTTTCTTTATCAAACTTAATGTCGTTTTCTTCAAATTTCACGAGAGCGTGAGTCTACAAAGTGTAGTTTGATGGGATCATGGGAGTGGGACTCGCATTCTCTCTCAATGCCGTAGCAAAAACCGGAGTCTAATAAGCAGCCTCGCAGGAAAAAAGGAGATACTTTTTTCTGGTTAGGAAAAAAAGAAAAAAAAAGGGAGATACTTATTGTATTTTTCACTAATTGTTGTCATATTTATGGCTTTTTTTTTTTTTTTGAAGGTTATGACAGTATTTTTGTTGTTGTTGTTGTTGTGTTAATTAGTTTCAACTTTCAACAATATTTATTAAAAAGGATACATTATTTTCTACACTTTACTAATTTAGGAAGTCAGTATGTAGATATTAACATCTTTTTTTCCGATTTTTTTTTATTTTTCTACCGCTAAAGCTCATACTAAGTATCAATCCAATGAAAATTTGCAATTGAGATCTAACGTTTTAAGCCCAAAATAAAGGAAATAAAAAGTTGGTTAAGTCAGTTTTATTAAAATCCCTCTACGCAATGTCGTAATATATTTAGATGTCTCCGCAAAGAAACAACCCAAAGTCGTAATCAACAATTTTTTTTTTTTTTTTGCTTGAAAAAAAAAATACATTTTCTTCTTGGAAAAAAAAAAACCAACCCAAAGTTGTAATCAGCAAATTCTCTATCTCTAACATCATTTTCTTCCCAATTTCACATTTTTCGATCGAAAATTCAATTCTATCATTCATGTTCCCAAGAGAACATGTCTCCACTTATTATTATTATTTCCTGTTTCTACTATTATTTTGTTTAAAATGGCTCTCTCCATTATAATAAGCATAAAATGGAAAGGAAAATAAAGGACATGTTTTTTTGTCTAAAAAATTTTAAAAAAGACAACTTAAATTTTAACTTTATTTAAGTTCACGTTTAAGTTTCAATTTTATTCAATTTTATTCAATTTTATTTAAATTCTAACTTCAACTCAAATTATAACTCAAATTCAACTCAAAAATTACACTCAAAAAAATAACTTCAAAAAAGTCGAACATATGCATGGTACAAGAATCTTCACTTTTCCAACGTTTATTAACGAAACTACTAACTTACGGTGTGTGTGTGTATACATTATAGAGGGAAAAGAGGGTTCGAGTTTTTTTTTTTTTTTTTTTTTTTTTTTTTTAACGTAATTATTGGCGGTTCCACACTAATTATTGGCTCTCGCTCAAACGCAATATGTTCATAGAATGCTAATTTCTACCGAGTTCCAAGTGTAGAAAATAATTATCCTTTTTAATAAATATTTTTGAAAGTTGAAACTAATTAACACAAAAAAAAATACGGTCATAACCTTAAAAAAACCATAAATATGACAAGAATTAATGAAAAATACAATAGGAGAGAGAAGTATGATTTTGTAAAGTTAAAATGAGTAAAACAGGCAAATGGAACTATTTTATTAGATGGGCCTACCATATAATGACATTCATCTTGCCTTGTTTTCGTTTTCCAATCAAACTTAATGTCGTTTTCCAATCAAACTTAATGTCGTTTTCTGTTGAACTTCCCAACTTCCTCCGCCTCCTCACTAAATCAAATCAGGGTTTTAAGTTTTTGAGGGTTTTAGGACACAAACTGCCACCAGAGTTTTTAGAGAGAAAGAGAGAGAGTTTAGAAAGTGTAGTTCTATGAATGGATGTAGCAATAACATCATCATCTTCAACCATGTCCTCCAAATTCTTCCCTTTCCCCACAAATCTCAGCACTCCTTTAACCTCCTCTTCATCATTCTCATCTTCTTCTCTCTTCCCCAACTCCTCTTTCTCTCTCACCAAACTCCACCATATCCGAACCCACCACCGCAAACTCCACCGCCGCCATAAATACAATCCCCTGCTCGCCGCCCCACCGACCACCCCTGCGCCCACGCCCTCTCCGGAGGAATTCAAGCAAGCCCAGGAAGCCCTCTTCGAAGTTCTCTGCGAATTCGGAGTCTCCGAGGAGGACTCCGCCGCCATATCGGAGAATTCTCCGCGCTACGTGGGTATGCTGGTGGAGGGAGTCCGGGACTTGGAGGAGCTTGAGTTGTGGAGCTCGTGGAATAGTGAAAATGAAATGGAAATGGGGTTTAAGGAGAAGGTGATTCGTATGGCCAAGGAGAAAGGTGATAATGGCAAGGTTGCTTTGTTGGAGAGCCTTGTTGGGTTGAGCCTCTCCTCCGCCATGAATGTCGCCAGATATCTATCGGCTGAGACTCTCCCGGCTCTCATTGCTAAGGTCAAGACCAAACCCAACTTTCTTTCTTTGTTTCTTTGTTTCTTTGTTTCTTTGTTTCTTTGTTTCTTTGTTTCTTTGTTTCTTTGTTTCTTTTTTTCTTTTTTTCTTTTTTTTTGGGTGAAAAGTTATGTTTGTTGGATTGCCTATTTCTTTGTTGACATTATCTTTTGGTGGAAATTGTTGTGTTAGATTGGTACATATTACTATATTGGAGGTGATTTCTTTGTTGACATTCCATGGTAACTTCTTCTAATGAAAATTGATTTTTTTTTGCTAAATATTTAATCAAAATTGATTGTTAATTGGGTATAGAAGATTTATGATGGGAAATGGGGCTTTGGTTTTAGTTTGTTCTACTTATTTTGAATCCTGCGTACATCCTGTAGGTTGTAGGGGATATTTGTTGCATGTTAATGGAAATGTATGTCTATTTCTCTGTGACGTGAAAGAGAATGTTTATTAGGTTGTGTCTAGCAAATAAGAATATGAATTTAGTTTTACCTTATGTAAAATTAGTTTGTCACCAATAATTGTGTTTTCTTTATTGTGTATTTAGCCTGCAAGAGCGACCAGAAAGTAAATAATCTAGGAGGTATGATACAGATTAACCTGAGGGATTCTTTTCACTCATACGGCTAAAGGATCTTAAGATACTCGCCTTGAATTTGTCAATTTATCGTGATATATGTTTGAAGAAGCTGATATTTTTCAATTAATAGTTATGTTAGGTTTGAAAATTCGAGATAAGGTATAGCCCTGTCCATATTCTTTTATCCTCTCACCACACTGGTTAACAACCTTGAATTTTGACGTAATATTTAATGAGGAAGATGAATGTTGAATATTGGTTAGAAGCAGGTTAATTATTGATCAAGTGAAAAACTGCTGCTTATCATGCATTTGGCTTATAGGTCAAGTATATGAAGGAAATCTTCTTTTCTGGCAGTAATGATGGAGGAATCATTGGGAAAAATGCTCGCCGTATGATGAGGCATTTATCAATTCCAGTAGATGAAGATTTGCAGCAAACTTTGTCCTTTTTTGAAAAGGTCTGGTATCTTTCTTCCAAATTACAGTTATCTGTTTTTGAAGCTGCAAATTTCTTTTACAAGGTTTTCACACTGTTGAATGAATTGATAAAACTTTTTTTCTTTTTTTGGTGCAGATTGAGGCAAGACGCGGGGGTTTGGACATGTTGAGCTCCAAAGATATCTCTTTCCGTTATTTAGTGGAATCGTTTCCGCGCCTTCTTCTGTTACCACTGGAATCTCAAATGAACACCATCTTGGAATTTTTTGAAAATAAGGGAATCTCTAGAGGATGTGTGAGAAACATACTTCTAACATTTCCACCAATTATGTTTTACAAAGTTGAAGTCATTAAAACAAGAATGCTGGTTTTCAAGGAGGTAATGATTCTCACGACTACTTATTAATCTTAACTTATGGATTAAAAAGCACATAAGTTATATGATTTAATCAACTTTTAATTGTTCTGCAACTACATGCTGTGGTGAAAATATCTATGCTGGCTTTTATGTTGGTTCCAACTCTATTTTTCTGAATTTGCAAAATTTCATTCTCTGTTTATCCACTTGTTGACGCTGGGTTAAAAAGCTCTTTATAGTAGTAGCAAAACCAACAACAGTTTTGTTTTTTTGTTTTTCCTTTTTTTTTTTTTTAATATGATTAGCATTACTTCTTATTTGATGCTAGAAAAGCTATTTAACATAACGATGTGCTAGTATGAAGTTTATATCTATTTGGTATCCTACGTCTCTCTCAGTTTTTATGGGATTTTGATGGCAGTCAAGAAAGAGATTAAACGCTTATGATAGGTGCAAATCTGGGAGTTAATTACTTTTGAATTTACTTGTAATCATAGCTTTATGATTATCCAAATGGAAGAGTTTATTCTAGTCGAGTTTCATGTCATCATTCATACTCTTCTGGATAAAGCTATCATATTACTATGATTATTCTCTCTCTTGTGTATTCATCTTTTTAGTTTTTTCTGTATCGTTCTTTTACTCTTTTTGGTCTTGCATCAATTGGTATCAGTGATTAATCATTTATACTTCTTAATATTCTGGACTCGTCTTTTTAGCTTGAATTTGATTATCAAATTGATCAAAGCGATAAAAGATACCTAAGAAGCACTTATTTTTCCCTCTTTTGAACAAATTATCCAAGTACTCTGATACCACATTGATGTAGGACTAAAGAGATTAGAAGATAAATAGAGAAGAAAAAAAAAGGAAGAATTAGTGGGAGGAATAGAATCAAGAGAGGGAATAGTTGGAATAAAAATGTTTGTTCATCGATTAATAGATAGAAAGTTTAACTTAATAGCCTATTTATAGGTGGGCAATACTAATTTGACTAGGAATTCAAGAAGCTTGTATACAATAAATAACAATAAAAAATTTGAACTCATTCATGATAAGTGATAACACACACGTATATAAACCATGATCAATAGAACAATCCTGAATTCCTAGTTAAGCATAATTATCTGACATCGCCTACTACATTATTCTCTGTGGTTCCAAAAATCTGACTTTTCAAGTTTTAACTGCAAAAGTGCGGACAACCCTCATGAAGCAACAATCTGAAGCACAAAAGCATTTTCAACCTCAATAATTGATTTGACAATTACAATAGAAATTGGAGAATTGACATTCGGCTCACTTACTCCATGCAATAGTTATTGAAAACATCGGAGGGCTTGAACATCTTGTTAAGTAAAAAATCTAGCTCATCAAAAATTGAACAAGTGATCCTGTTATGCACTTAATATAAGGATATTAAAAGCACTGTCCACGAGTTTTGGCATTCAGTTTCCTTTACTAATCAGCAAGCCAAGGTGTAGGAATGAGGATAAATGCAGGCAATGATAAGATCTCCATTAGTCAGTTTACAAGTCTTCTCATGGGTATCAGTAGCAGGTTTCAAATCCTCAACTTTTAAAACTATATAATTTTTTATACCGGGTGTAGAACATTATTCAGCTCCACATTAGTTTTACTAGTCTTTAGTTGCATAGTTTTCTGAGTTTTCTTAATTTTTTTTTTCTGACTGTCTTATCTCTTTCCCTGTCTTTTGTCCTGCATAAAGTTTTTTTATTGTTTTCTTGTTCATTTTTTCCTCTTCTGTATGCTGCATGCACCTACGTGGATTTCTGATGTTACTGTTGTACCTTTGGGAAATTTTCCTGGATTTTCCAGCTGGGGGTTGAGGACAAGGATGTTGGCAAGCTGCTAATAAAATATTCGTGGATTATATCCACGAGTATTCAAGAGAATTACAAGGAGATATTGCATTTCTTTGACACAGAAAAGGTATGCTATCCAAACCTTTCAACTTCTTCATTTTTTTTCGTAAGTTCTATAAAAGAAATGTTAAGATCTTGTACTTCTTTTGTTTCAACATGTTTCATATTTCAGTACCAAGGAATATTACTTGGCTTATGTGTTGAGCTAGCCAACTCTTGCTGTCATTGCGCATTGCTAAGCTGATCATAAATTGATTCTGGCACAAATCTGGAGGAATCTAAGCTTGTTATTACTTGTTCTTAAGAAATCAAAAGAATGTTCTCCAGTTTTCATGTATCGCCAAGTTCCCATCCTTCTCATTTAAATTGTCCATTTGTTCTCTTGGATGATCAACTCCTCCATTTTTTGTGTTTTGTTCTTCTTCCTTTTGTCTTTATTGGGGATATATCATTTTTTGCCGACCTAATGCTTGCCTTTATAACTAATTGTCCCCTGATTTATTCCTCTCTACACCAGCCAACAGAAACTATTCAGAACAAAACCGTCTTAACAAACTTAATAACAGACCCACACTCTATTATTCAAGCTAATTCCAAGACCTATCATTTATTCTCTTTCAAGTGCTGGTTTTGCTCAGTGCATCTCCTTCTTTTTGAAGTTGTAGCCTATGGTACGGAAATAAGCTCCTCGCGATGCTGCTACATGTTTTGTTTATGCTGTCCATGTCAAAAGAGACTCAAGCTTTTATCTCGTCACCTTACTAGTGGCATAGTAGATTTCTTTTGTTGTAGGGCATGAACGGTAGATCAATTTGAATGAATGCTTGTTAACTAATTTGATTTTAGTTTTAAGATAAGTTACTCCTCTTGATAGGTGCCTAAAGTTAGTGTTGACGGTGCAATTAGAAGTTGGCCTCATTTATTGGGTAGTTCAACTAGCAAGATAAAGTTGATGGTTGAAGAGATTGGCAAGTTGGGTGTTGGAAACAAAAAACTGGGCCAGGCTATCAGTAAAAGCCCTCAGATATTGCTACGGAAACAACAAGAGTTCATTGAGGTGGGTATATCTCATTTCTTTGTTTAAGTTCATAATATTTTCTTTCTTTAGAGTTGTGGGCGTAGTTTCTTCACTTTGCCCAATTTAAATGCTGTAAATTGTAATGTCTCTCATGGGAAAATGTTCTTATCAGAATCCCGTTCTGAGTTGCCAATATGTTTTGAGTGTGATAATTCGCAATACTAATCAAGGCTCTCCCCTTCATGCTTTAGATTTTTCTTATGATAATTCACTATTCCAGGAGCCTTCAATGAGAAAATAGTGATTTAAAGAACATTAATGCATGGGAGGAATGAGTCTTTGGAAACTTTTGATGTTGCCGCCTTGTAATAACTTTCTTTCTTTAATAACTTCAAGTGTGGCAAATATTGTTACCTATCAGGATTGGCATCTGATGTCTTTGCCTTTAAAGTTCAAGATCAACAAGATAGTTTCAACATTATATTTACGGCCCAAATTGGCACTGACCTCAAAATTGGCTATATTTTAGCTTATGATTTTTCTCCTTATTTGTTGTATCATCTGTCTTCATCACAGGATATGGACTATATTGGTTTTTTCCTGCCCCTTTTGAGTGTATTAGCAATTGTTGGTGGTTCTTTATACAGGTGGTTTCACTTTTGGAAGAGCTAGGATTTGAGAAAGAAACAAGTGGAAGTATTCTTTGTCGCTGTCCAGAAATATTTGCAACCAGTGTTGAAAGAACTCTTACGAGGAAGCTTAAATTTCTTGCTACTATTGGTGTTTCTCAAGTTCACTTTCCTCGGGTTATAAAAAAATATCCCGAGTTACTGGTATCTGACACTGAAAGAACTCTTCTTCCACGGTAATTCTCTTTTTCTTTTAACATATTTTAATTTTTATACACCTTCATTGTTGTGAAAAATGACTGCAAGTAAAACAATCGTTTTTGGGACAACTTCACAACTGACATTTGCATGATTAGCTTCTGGCTATCTTATTTTCAGCTTTATGTAACATAAATAAGATAAATCAGTACAGAATCATGACCTCCACGTCTATAGAGCAAAAAGCTGATGTGATGTTGAAGATGATCCATAACATAGAGAGCAAGACCCTGATTTTCTCTCAAATCTCTAATCAAATTTTATAACAAGCTCTTTTAGTTGCGATTGAGTCGGCTTTTGATCAGTATAGTATCTTCTGCCATGACTTTGCATCAATAGTGCATGCATGTTGTTATTCTGTAAAAGCTGTAGTCCATGATGTAGGAGCAAGCATACTGAGCCAGCCACTGGGCGTGCCCATGGATTCGTTTGGGACATTTCGAATTAAGGGCCTAAATGGATAGTGCTTGGGGTGGATTCCTCAATCTGGTCCAAGGTGGTGTTTAAGGGATTTTGATTGGGCCTCTTCTATCGTTTGCTCTATCGATTACAACTTTTGAGAGAAATTGTTGTGTCAACTCCTATATCAGTCTAGATTAGAATATAATTCCATGTTGTTTTCTGAGCTAATCTGGGAATTTTGGTATGTAGGATGAGGTACTTAATGAACTTGGGGCTGTCAGAGAAGGATGTCGCGTTCATGGTTCGTAGATTCTCGCCTTTGCTCGGATATAGCGTTGATGAGGTTCTGAGACCAAAGCTTGATTTTCTCATAAACACCATGGAAAAGCCAGTAAGGGATGTGGTGGAATATCCCAGATTCTTGAGCTATTCCTTGGAGAAGAGGATAAAACCAAGATTCTGGATTCTGAAACAAAGGAATATCGAATGTAGTTTGAAAGACATGCTGGGAAAAAATGACGAAGAATTTGCTTCCGATTTCCTAGAAGTTGGAAAGACGAAAGTTCCACCTCCCGCTTCCCCCACTCGCCAATGATGCTGCAGAAAGGTCATATATTTCTAGAAAATAGCGCCTACCGGTAGTGTTCCAAGCATTTTTCTTAAATCTCAACATGTACCTGTGTCCCCGCCCCAAGGTTTTTTGTTTGAGGATATCTCTTCATCTTCTCTGTATATGAATCTTTTCTTTAATACAAAGTTTCTTTTTTTAAAGAAAAAAAAAGTACCTGTTTTCCTGCGTTAGAAGAAAGAGAAAATGATTCTGAATCATTTGGTACGAGGATTCAAATTAAGGTGATTTTAATTATAATTTTAAAATTAGAACCATAATTCATGATTTTTGGTTCAAATCATAATTCTGAAACTATGATTCAGAATCAAGAGTTTAAATCACCTTGAATCAAGAGGATGGTGGTTTTAGAATCATGAGTGATTCTAGTTTAAAACATAACATTAGATTCTGAATCATCCAAATCAAATACTGAATCATGATTCAGAATCGCTGTAAACAAACACTAATTCTCAATCAGGATTTAGAATCATGATTCTGGATTCATTTACCAAACGCCCATGAGTGATTGAGTACATAGGTGGGATTGCACATCTAGATAGGGAAACAGCTGAGGATAAGCAAGTCCGGTAGATGTAGGGACTAAATACCTTGCCAACTACTTACAGTTGGTATACAAATCATTCGTATCGTTCGTTTAAGTTAAGAACTTGAGTTAAAAGTGAATTCATGTGAGAGAATATTGTAATTGAAAACGTTAAATTTAAATTTTTGTGATAAAAAATATTATAGTAAAAACATAAATTGTGATTTGAATTAACGAGATGAATGAGGCCTGATTGTCTAGATTTATGCCTGATTTTGTTGGTCTAATTCTTGAACACTTAAATAATAACGTTCAAACACACTTCAAACTATTTTAATTTCTTAGTGCTCTATGAACTCTTAATTTTGTGTCATTTTATCTCTTAAATTTTTAATAGAATTACAAGTATTGTAGTATTATAGACGAACTGGGTGTTTTCAATTGTTTTGCATAGTTCGGGGAGTAAAATTTAGATCTCGTTCATTTCACCGATTTGAGTTTTTAATTCTAAACTTTTACAGTTAAAAACTCTCAATAAATGTCACATTTAACTTTTTATGCTATAATTAAAAGTTATCAGAAAATATCACATTTCAATTTGAATTGAAAACTCATATCAACTTTAATTGAAAACTCAAATTTGCGGAACGAAAATCCAGCGTATTAGTGCCACAGCTCATTCACTTACAAATTCACTTACAACTTTTGTAAATTGGACAATTTACGCTAGTCACCTTCTAGGTTTCGGAAAGTCCAAAACTTAATACATTTTCAAGAATTGAAAATTGCAAAATATTTATTTGACAATGAAATAAATATTTCCACGTTACTTTTTTTTTTCCCCTGAAAGATATTTCCACGTTACATGTGGTAATAGCGCGCTGACCATACAGTTCCCGAGGGGACTATGCTTTGCACTTGTAGTGCAAGGACAGGAACAAAAGATTCCAAAAATCAAATCCAAATTAATTTCTAGATTCATTTCAGAGAAAAATTGAGCTAGCAAGAGGACCAAGTGAACTTACATAATTTAAGCTGTAAGAAGAAATATTTAATTTAATAAACTCATAATTTAAATTATGCAATTAACTTTGATATATTTGTACTACTAAATAATCAAATCTAAATCATTTGTGCATTATGAAAAGCTCTAAACAATATTTATAGGATTAATTTATTTTAAGCTCGTCCACTTTAACTAATACGCAAGTTTTTTATTTTCAAACAAATCTCACCTATTAATAAATCAAAAGACAAAACATAAGAATGTGACGTTATAAAGCATTCAGGTACGAGGTCATTTATAAGTTGGTCATCTAATGTAAATAGAATAAAAGTTCTTTATATCTAAACGGTTAACTTAAAAATTATTTATATGCTGATCCAGTTCACTAAGATATCGTTTAATGTCGGATTATGAGAAAGTGTTAGATCTTTGTTTGTGGATTTGAATTATTTGATCTAATATGAGTTTGTGGTTGGGTTTGAATTTTTTGGCATCTTTGTTTGTGTTTTGAAGAACTTGTTGAAAATTTTTCAGCTATGATTTTTTTTTTTTTTGGTTTCTTACTTGAAAAAAAAAAATCAAACATAATCTGGTGTATTATCATTTTTTTTGTTTGTAATTTTGTAGTTGAAAATAAAAAATGTTCAGGTAAAGTATGAAATATATTATATCAAATTTCTCTCCAAGCGTCGACAATCAAGATTGATGGTAATTTTTTTATGAAAAGGTAATCTTGAAGATTATGGAAAGTAATCGACTAGTTTTCTGGCTAGACGCTCTACTGATCCGAGCTCACGAGTCGAAGCTCAGTGGCGGCATTGCCGTTGTCTAGCCACGATAACGGTCCCGTTCCAAACATCAAACTGACCACACCATTGATCCTAACTCGATGGTGACCTCAGCTTTAGTAGTAACCACAACCTAAAATTTTTGCCCAAAAGAATTTTGAAAGTAATAAATTTTTGTTTCCATTATTATTTTTTTCATGAGTTTGAGTTGAAAAGTGAATTTATATAAGAGTAAACATCATAGTAAAAAAGTAAAATTTAAATTTTTATAAAAGAAAATACAGTAATAAAAAGTTTAAGTTGCGATTTAAATTTTAAAAAGAACGTGGATGTTTTGAGAGGTTTGAATTTTTTGAAAGTTCAATTTTGAGGTTAAAGTTCCCTCAAATTAAATTTATTTATTTATTTCTTATTTAAGATCTATATTTATATCGTGAAATACGCGAATTTAGATGAATACTGGATATAATTAAGACATATTTGTCATTTCATATCTAAACTTAATAGAGTTATGTACACCAGATGTTATGCAAATCTTTTCATCATAAAAAATATTCACAAGGGAAGATTCTCACATTGAAAACTATCTCAAATGTTATATAAAATAATTACAGAATATAAATCGCATCTTTTTTATTTTAGACAGGACGTTCATTATAGATTTTCAAGAATATTCTCGAGTTTGTTTGCACTAGGTTGGTGGTCACTTTGTGGACAAAAAGAGTCGATTAAATCAAACTATGCGTCAATGAAAATAAAAAAAAATGCATCTTCTTTTTATCAAGAGCTCGTTCAATAACGTTTATTTAAACAGTTTTTTAGTTCTTAAAACAAAAAGTAAAAAAAGAACCTTAAACACATGTATGTCCAAAATTTGTATTTTAATTTATCCATTTCTTTTTTAATGAGGTCTTTAAACGGAGAGCATACAATTACAATTTTAATTATAAAATTTAATAATAAACATATTGACTAAAAATACATTTTAAGCATAAACTTAGAAAAGAGGAACAACTAAAAACGCATATCTGAAGGGCCCGTTTAGTTCATTGATTCGAGTTAAGATGTGATTTTATTTGAAAGTTTTATACTGTAATAAAAAAGATAGATGTGATTGTTTCTTAGAGTTTTTTACTATAATAAAACTCGAATCGGTGAAATAAACAGAGTTTAAATTTCAAAATCTAAATATATAAATATAATCTAAGCATGCACTCTACAGTCTCGTTTTAAGGCCCTTTTCGATTTATGTGTAGTGTACCACTGAGTGCATGGTGATTATTAAGGGTATGTTTGTTTCTTATATTCATTTTTTTTAATCATGATTCATGATTCTCTACAGTATTTTTTTCTTATAAAACACACACATAAAATAAAAATAATTCTGAATTATAATTCTAAATTCATGAACTAAACGTCCACCAATATAAGTAAAGTTGAACCTCTTATCTTTTTTAAGTAGAATTGAATTGAGTCTTTTTTATTTTATTGGTGGGTCCCGACTTCTAATGTGAAGAAAGAGGCAGGAGATTCTACATAAAATTTTAAAAAAATTAAAAAAAAAAAAACAAAGTGATACAAATAAAAATAAAAATAAATTGTAATATCTCAGCCGTCGACCCTAGAGCTCAGATAGAGCTCATCACTGACCCTCCCCAGTGCGAGCGCCGTCGCGCCAGTCCTCTCCGATCGTCCCAGCATTTTCTGCGTGCCGATTTGCAAGCCAATCTCCTCCACGGTTGGTTTTCTGCTGTACCTTTTGCTCTTTTTTTTTCCTTTTCTTTTCTGAATTTAATATTTTGTGGTCTTTGAGGAGATGCTAAGGTTTCTGCTATAATACGATCTTTCATTTGCCTTTGCTTCTATTCTATGATGGGATGATATTTCATAGCTTATATTACAAATCTCAAAATGGGTTTCTTTGGAATGGAAATCTGTGCTCATTGGAACGATAATAATGGTTATTTGGGTTATGCAGTTGTTGTTATAATTTGCTTGTAAAATGTGAAGATGGGTTTGAGACATTGAGGAAGGAGTGGGAACAATGGAGATTATAAATTGCCCTATTTGTCTTTGGGGAGAATAAAGAAGAGTAGAATGACAAGGAGAAGGAGATTTGACTTAATTTGTTGACCTTTTAGAATGAAAAGAGCTTCAATTGTGTTTGTCCCTTTTTTTTTTTTTTGAAGTTGAAGTTGGGTTTATAGGTTATTGAAGTTTTGGGTTTGGAATTTTTATTTCAAGTTTAATTTATGATATATAAATGAGTTTGTGGAATGTGTTTTACTGCGGAATTTGTTGATAATTGATTGGTATTATTGTGTAAAAAGCTCTTCACTCGATCAGACTAAATGCCATCGGTTCCCGATTCCGCCTTTTAAAATTATGATTTACATGTGTATTGAAAAATAATGCACACCACGTACTAATTCTAATTGTTTCGTTTGGTTTAGGTTTTACAACTTCACTTTCAATAAAGGATATTGGCGCTTTACCATGGACCAGGTTAGTAGTTGATCTCTCTCTCTCTGATTTCATCATATACCATTTCTGTTTTGCTCTAATTGTTGATGTTTATCGATGTGTTAGTACGAAAAAGTTGAGAAGATTGGTGAAGGAACCTACGGTGTAGTTTACAAGGCTCGTGACCGTGTCACTAATGAGACAATAGCTTTGAAGAAGATCCGTTTGGAGCAGGAAGATGAGGGAGTGCCAAGCACAGCTATAAGGGAAATTTCTCTCTTGAAGGAAATGCAGCATGGAAACATTGTCAGGTATGAGTTGAGAAGTTCCTGTATAACATATTAGAAGATATTGTCAAATGCAGTTGTACTTTTTCCCCATTTTGGGTAATTATGCTCGGTGATAGATATTGCCTGATTTGCATTCTAAGAAATATGTTTGGACAATGACAAGAACAGAAATGGTATCAAAAATTGGTTGAGGCAAACATTTTTATGGTCCAGATCATCTCTATGATACTAACTTCACCCTTAGTTTTTGCAGTATTTGAAAGGAATTTGTTTGAGAGCCCGAAATTATACCTATAATGTCCTTTTTTAATTTTAATTTTAACTTTTTTACTCTTTTTGTCTAAATCACTTTGAAACTTCCTTAATTTGTTTAGCGTCTAATCCACAAGCAGAATGGCAGAACTTTACCACTATTTTTGTAGTACTATTTTTCAGCATTTATGTTAATTATGTTTTGTTAATTCGTCCTTTGAGCTTTCTTGTGAATTTGTGATATATGGGTTAGTGATCAAGACTTTGGGCCCATTGTTTTTCTAAGTTGAAGTAGAGTGGCCAAGTACCTGCCCAGATTTGGAATCCAGTAAGACATGAGTGCTAATCTGCATAATCTTTGGGAAGAATGTACTTATTGCATAAACCTATGTAGTTCTAATTTCCAACCTAGAAAATCGTTTTAATACTGAACCATCTTGACAGGTTACAGGATGTAGTGCATAGTGAGAAGCGGTTGTATTTGGTTTTTGAGTACCTGGACTTGGATCTGAAGAAGCACATGGATTCTTCTCCTGAATTTGCAAAGGATCTACACCAGATAAAAGTGAGTTTTGCCTTTTCTCTTTAGCATCTCTTGCATTATGTACCTCCAAAATGAATACTATTTTCATACAAGTTGCAGGTTATTTCCCGGTAGCTTACTTTTCTAATTTTTGATGATGTTAAATGGAGAATATCAAATATCCTATGAGTCTATCTTCAGGAAAATTTAAATAGAGTTCTGTTATTTAATAATATGTGTTATCTCTTGTCCAAAAAAAAAAAAAAAAAAAAACAGAAGTTTCATTCTTCCACAATAAAATATCAGATACAAGGTACTTATTTGCCTCATTTATTTTTCTGTCATTTGTCCTTCATCTTAGCCTTGCTTTTCTTGGTCTGTAAGCATATTTTTAGTGTTTAATGCCTTAATCTAGTTTGATTCTTAAGTTTTGTTTGTAGCTTTTATTAAGGTTATGCTATTTTATGCCAAGGTTTAAAGTTGCACAATGGGTGCTGAGGCGTTTCCTCTTTTTGAGGCTACGTCTAAGCCTTAAAGGCATTTTGAGGTGCAAGCCCAATATATATACACGTATATATATAATGAAATGTACACATTCTTAAATTCGTAAGCCATGTGTCTGAACTAGTACTAACATATTCAAATTCATAAGCCAACTGTCTTATACTGCTTCTCACATTCTCGATTGTATGAAAAATTTGGCGAACTTATGGACTTCTAAATAAGAAAAAGGTTTCTGGGATATTTTTTGGTGGAATACTGATGTATGGCCCTTGTGCCTTTTTATTTAATTCAGCCCAACAAAACATCAGAGCAAAAGAGGGGTGTGGGCCTCAAAAAAGCGTGTTGAGGCTAAGCCTCAAGGCATGTCTCAAATACAGAGGCACACGCCTCTTTCCTTCCATATGAGGCCTACACCTTAACTATATTTTTCAGCATATTGCACAATTTTAAACGTTGCTTTATGCTTGAATGAGTCAGCCTATTTGGTCTTTAGTTAATCTTGTTGATGCACTCGGACTACTTGCAATTGAAGATCATATTATTATTGCTTTTCTGCAGATGTTTCTTTATCAAATTCTCCGTGGCATTGCTTATTGTCATTCTCATAGAGTTCTCCACCGAGATCTCAAGCCCCAGAATTTGCTGATAGATCGTCGCACCAATGCACTAAAGCTTGCAGATTTTGGATTGGCAAGAGCTTTTGGTATTCCAGTCAGAACTTTTACTCATGAGGTATTATTATATAAAAATTTTAGATTTCCTTCCCTGTTGTTTGTTATTTCCTAATAGTTGATTAGTAAATTAATATCTCTAAAATTTTGCGTGATCCAAAAATATCAGAAATACAACTTGAAACTAGGGTGCAGTTTATTCCCGTGATATTATGCTCGACTACATATTGAATTGAAAAAGGAATCCAGAGAGCTGGTGTAATTTCGATACAGATGGTATATAATGTTTGTGAGCTTGACTTGAGAAAAAATCAACTGGCATAAAAAGATTTTGTGTTATTCTTTCAAACAATGGGAGGTACATCGTAAATTTATTTGTATTCTTCCAGGAGTGGATTCATAGGCAGCACCTTCCTAGATAGCTATGAGGACATAATACGTGGTTTACTTGTGGAATTTAATGATTGCCGAGTAAAAATTGGCAAGGGATTTTTTTTCTCTTTTAATTGCCATATTGATGTTTTTAATGCCTTTTGTTTTAAGACAGCTATCTTTTACTGAGATTACTCCTTCAGTCTATATTTCATTACCAAGCTTGGATGAATAATTTTCTGGTGACTTTGTGTAGGTGGTGACCCTTTGGTATAGAGCACCAGAAATATTGCTTGGATCCCGTCATTACTCCACCCCAGTCGATGTATGGTCGGTGGGTTGTATTTTTGCTGAGATGGTGAATCAACGACCGTTATTTCCTGGGGACTCGGAGATTGATGAGTTGTTCAAGATATTCAGGTATATTTCTGGCCAAGTACTTTTACTTCTCCCTCTTCTTCTTTTTCTTCTTCTTCGTCTTCTGTCTATTAGAATAGGGGATCCAACACTAGCAAAGGTTATTGGCTCTGTACTCTTTAAAAAAGGCAATCAGCACCAATGAGTCTAGGATTGGCATTAGGATTCGGAAAACCTGTTCCTATACACTTTTATTAAGGTCATGCGTCAAAGTCCAATAATGCAGGGCAGAGAGAGAGAGAGAGAGCATTAGGATTCGGAAAACCTGTTCCTATACACTTTTATTAAGGTCATGCGTCAAAGTCCAATAATGCAGGGCAGAGAGAGAGAGAGAAAGAGAGAGAAGAAGAAGAAGAAACAGGAAAAGCAAAGGTTATTGGCTCTGTACTCTTTAAAAAAGGCAATCAGCACCGATGAGTCTAGGATTGTTAGCAAGCCTTTATTGTGGATAACCTTGTTTTTCTTCATGAAGAAGTTAGTTGCAAAAATTTCCAAATTACATGTATATATCATATGCTCAAAGGGTATTTTTTCTTCATGAAGAATCTTGGGTACCCCTAACGAGGATACATGGCCGGGAGTGAGTTCCTTGCCTGATTTTAAATCTGCCTTCCCGAAGTGGCCAGCGAAGGTAATTTTTTCTTGTACCTCAAGTTTGCTTGCTGTTAATTGTTTTAGAAATCCCAAGGACGTGTGTTGCTGAAAATATTAAAATCTGTACCCCTGCTTCCCAGGACTTGGCTACTGTTGTTCCAAATCTTGAATCAGCTGGTCTTGATCTACTTTCCGTAAGATCATATCTGCTTTTTTCACCTCAATGTTTGCGCTAAATTTTTGTACATGACGCCGAGCATCTACTACCATTACGTTATTTATAACCTAAGTATTTCTCCCCCGTTTACATGACAGAAAATGCTCTGCTTGGATCCCACCAAGAGAATTACAGCCAGGAGTGCTCTTGAGCATGAATACTTTAAAGATATTTCGTTTGTGCCCTGAATCCCGCGTTCATCGTCAAGGCAGACAATTGTCTATAGTATGTCTAGAACCCACTGGATTTTGATTGTTTGAGAATTGTGTGCATGTGAATTTTTTCCCCCCCACCAATTTGTTGGACATAGTTCAGATAATGTTGATTTGGTCTCTTACCTGATTTCTAGCCCAAGTGGGCGGTTGTCTGCACTCTCCGGCCCCCCTCTCTCTTTCAGGCTCTTGAAAGATACGCGTCCATGTTTTCATGAATTGCTCGAGGAATGGAAAATATGTTAGGCTTGCCTTTTATCTGCCATCGTGTTTGTGTTTTCTATCTTGATAGAACATGTAAAAGATTAGTGAGATCTGTTACGCAATTCACATGCTTGGTGAATTTGTGCTGTTGCAAGACTGAATTTTATGTTGACTAACAATCTCAGGTACCACATTATTATGGTATCAATATTGATTTATAGTGTGTTATGCCTAAAGGTTGTAGAAGCCATGCCAAGGCTAGTAAAACCTGTGGGACCTCGGATTGAGTGAAAATACAGTATTTTAGACAAGCTTTTCTTTCTGATTTTCAGATATTTAACTCAAATTACAGTAAATGGTGTAAAAATACAAAGGATCCGCAAAACAGTACCGGTGCTGTACACAAGAGCTCGAGCTCTTCAGAATTGATTCATCTATCTATTATCTATTACTATCCTCTAAAGAAGAATCCGTTTCTCCTTTAGAGGCTACGTGAGTCAACTTTCGCACTACTTTTTCTTTCTTTTGTTTTAACTCCCGTTTTTGTTTTTATTTCTTTTTTCCTTTCTTTTTTTTTTTAACAATTTATATAATCATTGTTTTAAAAGATGTCACGGGCGTTTTTTAGTACACATAAAAAATTAGGAGAAAGAGGGAAGTAGGTTAAGACTTGAGATGAATTAAAATTAATAGACCAATAGTTCACATAAATTAATAAAGAGGTTAAATTACTGTTTTTGTCCATAACTTGTCTTATGAACCATAACTTGACAAGTTATTGTCTATAAATCACAGTTTTTGTCCATAACTTGTTTGGCTATGAACCATAACTTGATAAGTTTGTCCATAACTTATCTGGTTATGAACTATAACTTGATAAGTTATAGCTTATTAATTTCTATAATTAAAAGTTGGCCTATATACTTCCTTAAGTTTTTTATATTAGCATATTTTATACTATTTCTGTAAAAAAATTCTATCTGTGCATAAAAAGATACAAAAAAAATCATATCATTGAATCTTGAAAAAAATAGTAAGAGTATATAAGGAGATCAATTAATGTAAACAAGAAAAAAAAAAATACACCTAAAAACAAACAGGACATTTTTTTACCACTCGTGTAAAGAAAATTTAAAAATTTGTTACTCCTAAACTATTCTCAATTCTTCGTTGTATTTCAACGTCTCTTTTTACCCTTCAAAAAAAAAAAAAAAAAAAAAACACATGCCACAATATGCCAAACTATCCAAAAGTGGTAATCAACCGAATTTATGATATGGAGTACATAAAATCTCCATTTTAAGAACCCCACTTTAATTTGCCTACGTTATTATAATATTATGATTCTGTTATTTTTATTTTATTTTAAGATTGTGGTACCCTTTTTTCCCTATTTGTTATGATATGTTGATCATAATTATAAAGTTGCAATTTTTATGATAGCAATCAATTTACATAAAGTTGCAATTCACAATCACATTTACATTTTCAAAACCTTAATCTAATTTCATTATTATAAGTTGCAATTTTTATTATAATGACTATTTGTATCACCTTTTCAAATTTTAATCTTATTTCAAATTGTATATATATATATATATTTTTTTTTAAAGTGAACGTTAAAAATGGAATAATTAGGTTGTATAATGTAGGGACTTTATCTGGTGTTTCTTTTTTTTTAGAACGCTAGCGTTCTCTGCTTTGACATGCCAAGCCTATACCACTTTTATCTGTAGGCTTAAAATTTTTATAATAGTGGTTTATTGAAATGGCATTTCTCTAAAGTTGTATTCCTCTAACTAATCTTATTTATGTGATCCATGACTCAGAGTGTAAAGTTGACAGTATACCACTTTTAATATGTGCGTGTATAAATATATATATGTATATATATATATATACATATTACCTTGGCCACTTTCATGTTAAAGTTAGGGGGATATATTTGAATTATAAATCTGTAGAAGTAAAAATAAAAGGGAAATTTTTAAAAATATACTTTAAAATAGAGCTCATTTTATTTCTATCTCTTAATATTAATTTATATATTTCTACCTTTTAGACTAGAACTAGTCAGGGATAGAGTTTTTTTAAAAAGGGTACAGTTTTTTAAAGAGGGATAGGTAAGTGGTAGAATCTTGTAATTTTACCAAAATTTATAAAATATTCAGTGAAAATTAGACACCACTGACTCGGAAGAAATGCAGCCCTGGACGACTGTACATCTGGAGCCCAAGACTCTAGGCCCAGTCCATTCTCAAGTATCCTCACCGACCGTTGAAACTGTTTCTAGCACACTTGTTCATAATATTCTCTTTTTCTTTTTTTTTTTAATTGTTTTTTGAGAATCTCCTTTTTCTCATTTTAAGAAATGGAAATGGTGTAATCCTGAATTCCTTTCTTGGGTTCTTCACCATTTCATCATTTTGTATTCAAATTCAAGGTGGTCAGGGATGCCTATCTCTCTCTTATTTTCGAATTTCGTTTGTTTATTTATTGTTGGTGTAATATTCATCTATTTTCCTTCTAGAAAACACATTTGATGAATATTATTGACCTTTTTTTTTGTTTGTGATCTGAGATATTATTGACTGTTTTAAATGTCGTTTTTTTTTTATGTAATTTGATTAATGTTGTGTAATATTATTGTTCTCAGTGAGTCAGTCGAAAGTGTAAAATTAGCAAAATGGGGAGTGTGATCAGCAAAGCCGCGGATGGCGTTGGAAGTCTTTTGGGAAATGCGTTCATGGCTCCCTTCAAGTCTGTTTTTGGTCAATCATGCGAGTAAGTTTTTCTCCTCCCATCTCATTGTCTTGCTCTTTGTTTTTTGTTTTTTTTTTTGTTTTGAATTTTTACAACTTAACCCTCTGAACTTTTAATATTTGCATTTTATCCCCTCAGTTTGCTTGCAGTATTATCATATTTCACTTTTTTCGGTCGGATTTCTTACTGATTTGTGTTAGGATTTGAATTGAGATTTGGGAATTTTTGGTTGTAGGTGAGGCTTGTTGGCTCTTCTTTTTGTTTTTTTGTTTTTGTTTTTTGTTTTTTTGTTTTTGTTTTATTTGTGTTTGCTAATTTAGTGACCATTTGTAAAATTGGAAATATTGCTTCGGTTTTGCAAGTTGAGGGGATGAAGTGCGATGACTATGGGCAAGTTATCAAAATCCTGAAGTTCAGGGGCAGAAGTGCTAAAAACTCATAAAAGAATATTTTTCTTGTTTTCTAATTTAGAAGATATGAGAAAAGTATAGTTTATTTCCTAATTTTTTCAACCTCAAAGACAATTTTGTGTGTTTAAATCTTCAGCGGGATCTGTTCTGGACCGTGGGATATAATTTGTTTCCTTGAGCATTTGTGTATCTCCAATCTGTTGAGACTATTAATGATATTAGTCCTATGCTACATAAGTAAGTTTCTCTCACCAGCTTTGTTTTAATATGTTATTTTTTAGCTTGTAATGTTTTTGAAATTTTGTTTTGAATTTTTAGCTGTTTTTTATTATTATTATTTTTTTGTTTATCTACGTCCAGCTTTATTGCTCTTCTACATATTATTCAAGGTTGGGATTTGCCAATGCATTGGTAGAAGCCTTTGTAAGATGTGTTGGGCTGCGTGCGAAGTATACTGGTTTGCACTTGAAGATATTACTTGTTTCTTGTGGCGCAAGCTAATAAACACCAAGAGGATAAACCGGCGTCGCCGCCGCCGCAGCCGCCATTTTCAAGACATTGAGCAAGGGTGCAGTTCAACTTCAAGTGATGAAACTGATTTTTCGCCACATCATTATCGTAATTTGATCCACGTCAATAGAAAGAACTATTCTTTTAAGAGGATGAGCGGTTGAATTCTTTTCGCGGCTCAAGCGGGTTTGATGTCTCTCGTCACCACCGACGTGTGAAGCTGAAGTCTAGGGAAGAGTCTGCACATGTAAAGGGCGGATCTAGTCGACTAAGAAGCTCAAGGCAGCTTCAGCCAAGAAAAGTGAGAAGCGTTGGAAAGAAAGCCAAAACTTTCAAGAGGAGGAGACTTAGGTGATCATCAATATGTAAGTTTTCTGATTTATCATCAGATTAGCACTACGTTTTTTTTTTTTTTTTTCTACTTGAAACATTGATATATGGTTCGTGATAGAAACACATCTAAGAATTTGATTTGTCAAACCCTTGAAATGTGATTCATAAAATTCATGAATAATCTAAAAATGTGCTTTAATTTTTCTGGGACATCTTAGGCTTAGAAGGAGAAAAGAAAATAAAAAATAAAAAAAAGAAGTTACAAATGGGTGCAGCACATGTATAGCATTTATTTAGAATAAATCAATTTCTGAGAATATTGTCTAACAATGCAACACATGATTTAGCTAAGCACTCCCTTAGGTTGAAAGAAGACATAAGTGTGGTTAGAAGTTGTTCCACAACTGATTGTATATGTTGTATTATCTGCTTCTATTGATTAATAACTACTAGTTTTTATTCATGTAGATTTTCTTTCCTTCTCTCTCTCTCTCTCTCTCTCTCTCTCTCTTGAGTGTTTAAACAACTATTTGCAATTATTGCAAAAGATTCATTGGATGGCCACAATGGCATGACTGAAAATTCTAAGGATAACAAAGAGCCGACTACCAAAAAAGTACATCACAAAACTGAAGAATTTGCAGAGGTGGCTAGAAAAGATAATTTTTGCCCGTTAATGTAGATAATAATATTTCTTCTTAGGGATATTCTAATGAGGATAAGGTTACTGATTCCATTTCGAGTTATCCGCCCAGCTTGATTGATGTAGTTAGATTCAAGATAATAAGAACAATGTTGATTCAAGCCCCGCAGACACCAGAATAATTCTAAAAATGCTTGGAGACAAAGCACCACCACTAATAGAAGGTGAGTCTAACTTGTGAGCCCCATATTACGGAATTCACATTCTATTAGTTGGCCGATCAATAGCATTGTTTGAACAATTCAGGATATTTCACCAGACTTTAAAACTACTCACAGTTATCAACAGCAAATAACAAAGAGGTTCCGAGGCTAGATCTTACAGTAAAATGTAAACTCTCATTATTGATTTTGTAAGTGAACATGTGATTAAATGGAAAAAAAAAAAAAAAAAAAAAAATCCCTCCTTTCTTCCCTATCTAAACTCGTCCTCAACAAAGTTTATTAACATTTAGTACTTAAAGATTTGACATTTAGAACTATCAAAGAATTACAACACCAGATAACAACACAGGAAGGAGAAGATTGCTAATTTTGTTTAACTTTCTTCCATCTCCATGAAGAAGCACAGTGACAACAGAAAATAACAAGAAGAAAAGATTGGTACTGAAAGGACCTTTCATACTCTGAAGTCTCATCAACTCTAACAAAATATAGTGAATATGTTGAAAGTAAACAAAGCAAATTAGATTTGGCTGGTGGATAACAAATCTGCAACAACAACTTTGAGGAAACTATAAAAATTTATTTATTGTATGTACCAATTAATCCCGTGCTTCTATCAACCATTCTGTTCCCTCTGTTGGCTGCTGCATTTGTTCAGATAACTGTGTTCCGAAGCCCAAATGATTTAGCAGTAACCATGCGAGAGTTAAAAGCTCTCCGCCCGTACTTAGCTGCTGAGCATGTATAGCTGGTTCGCAGTTAATCGCGGCATTGGCAAAATATTGCATCCAGAAACAGAGCAAGTCCAGGAGTGCTTGCCCACGCGAAAGGAGATCATTTGCAAGTTTACATGCATCAGAGAACACAGATTTGCTTAAACTGTTTCCGTCCATGGTGTAAGAAGTTTGAAATTCCGACGTAGTCACGGATCTAATCTTCTCCCAGGCTTCCGAAAAATGCAATATTTCGTTTTTCTCGAAGAATATCTTAGCCTCAGCGCATGTATCCTGGAAGATTACCTCCCAATCGCTTATAACTGTGGACAACATCGCGGGCTTCATGAGCAGTATATAAAACAAGTAATTCGACAGAATCCTTAAACTTACAATTACGGCTATGTCAGATAGCTGCTCGGTCTCTCGATTATCATCATCCTCAGGCTCACATGACTTAACCTTGTGATAGAAGAATATCTCACTAGCTAAGTGGCATGTGAGAAAGGTTTTTGCATTAAAGCCCTTCAACGCTCTAAAGTTCCACTGGACTTTGTTAAGGTTCATGACCTGGAGACTCAAGTCTCCTAATAATTTATCAATTTTACGTTCTGAGTTATACACTTCTTCCTCTTCCATTAAGGCCTTGAAGTTGAAACAAGAGAATATAAGCATCTTCAAAACTTCAGTGTCCTTCTCTATAGATGAAAAGAGCAGGATTTTGATCTTGTCTAGGATACCTACAACACGGAAATATGCAACCAATTTGTAGAGCCACTTGGGGTGTTCATCCAGGCAATAACTGATAATGTTGTAGTGGTAGACAGAACCAGACCACCTTCGTCTTTTCACAATGATTGAGGGGAGATATCTCCTAGTCCATCTCTCCTTAAGTATACTGAGAAACCAACCTGAAGAGATGAGCTGAAAGATAGACACGATATCGAGGACGATGGCTCCACCAAGCAACCCATAAGTGAGGCCGATATCCAGCTTACTATCATGCTTTTTTTCAACCGAGTAGAAAACTAGAGCTGCCGTAACCATGAAACAGAAACTAAGAAAGCGAAAGATACATCCAATACCGCGACGTGCCACAACTACCTTGGTGTGGAGAACCTCGTACAACAGGCTCAGCTCGTATTCTATCACCCTGAAGGCACTAGAGTGGTGGTGCTCAGAACCAGGATCACCTGATTTCATGTTTTGCTTGATGCTCTAACTTCGGGGCTTAAAAAGAAGCCGAAGATGAGACCCTTAAAGCTTTCCAAGTGCCTATATGCCAATTGTAATAGCAAAAGAAAAGAAGCCCAAAATGCATACAGGTCTTCAATACTTCCCTTTGGCTCATCACAATTGTCACTCTGGCTTTGAGTGATTAGGCCGATGGCCACTGCCGCGACCCAGTCCGCCAATAAGTAAGCCGACCAGATGAAGAAAAGCAGAAACGCGTTTCTAGATCGTTGTCTGAAGGATGCAAAAAACACCAAGAAAGCCTGCAAGAACAGGCTCAAAATAATGCAACCTCGAATATCCAACGAATCCCATAGCTTCTCGACCTTGTTGGGTATTGGGAGTTCCATATATATTCCCTCGTCTTGGAACTTAGATGAGTACCTAAGAGCCAAAATCTGCTCCAAAATCCTTTCTTGGAATGAGTTCAAATTTGTCGTCCCGAATCTACTGTCTACTTCAATGTCCCACGAATCAAATGTTGCTCCTAACCTCTTGTCTCCTCGACTGTCCCTCGAATCAAATTATGCCACGTCATATTAAAAAAAAACACACATTGTCAAATGTATAAAAAACGGAGTCACAAAATAAAAAACTATAAAGCATACTTAAAGAAAAATGAAAGATGAAAAGAGACATTAAGAGCTTCGATTACCAAGAAAAGCTTGATGCTTGATCATGGGAACACAAAGGACGACGTATTCCTTCCTAATTTAGATTGATTTTTGGAAAGTGTCCTGAAAAAAAAAAAAAAGAAAGGATTTGATCGACTTTTCCTTATTACTGAACTCAGTATATCATGGGTTTTCTTATTGGAGACTTTTTGCTGGCTTTCTATTGGTTTCAATAGTACTAATGTGGAAGCAAGGGATTGGGAGATGGTGATGTTAACGAGGGAATGACATTGAAGATAGCAAAAGCGTCCGTTTCAATTTCTATTATTTTCTGGTTTGGTGCTTTTCTTCTGGATCATGTAGAGAATAATGATAGGAGTTTTTGGCAGTTAAAAGTTTTTTTTTTTTTAATAAAAATAGTAGGAAAAAGAAACAACACTTGCAAATGTTGTGTGAAGTGATAAAGAGAAAAAAAAAAAAAAAAAAAAAAAAAAAAAAAAAAAAAAAAACATTTAGTTGATCAACCGTTAGTCTTACTGTATGAACATTCATAATAGAAATAACCGAAATTTGTTGTTATCTTTTAATCATTTAAGGTTTATTTCCATTGGGTTCGAATCGCTCTCTTTTCTGTTTTCATTGATAACTTTCTTTTTATTTTCTACCACTAAAACTCTCATTTTGGTTTTGATTATTTTCTCTTCTTTATCGCTAGGGATTCTTAACTTGTTCAACATGAAAGAAATTTGGTTCCAAATTTTAAAATCAACCTTGGCATTGCTTAAAACAATTTATATATATAGGCGTGGGCGCGAAAGTAGAAATTTTCCTTTTTTTTTTTTCGCAAGTCGTGACTTCAACAATCCAATGATCCAAGCAATGCTTTGCAAAATAATTAAAAAAATAAATATCTCTTAGCAAAAAAGCTATAAATAAATAACTTTTTTTTTTTAAAGGGAAAAGTCGCCACATGATCACATCTTCTTCTTATAGGAAATAAAGTAATAAAGAAAACATAGAGTGAGGGAGATTTTGGCAACAGGAGACAGATGAAAGAGGAAGCATATAAAGAGGGAAGTTAAAAAGGAATTAGCAAATAGACGAGGGAGAAACGTGGAAGACAATCTAGGAATGCGTTTTTAGAGAGAGAGAGAGAGGAAAAAAAAACAAAAAGCGACTGTTTAAGATCTCACATACAAGAAATACATTTCCCTAAGCGTAGAAGACTTTTTTTTTTTGGAAAAGAAAAGGAAGAATTCCATGCAAATCAATGTAAAGATATATGTGAATGATCTTGCAACACAAAGCATAAACCTTAAAGAAGGCTAGCTCCATTTCCAATTTCCCTTAAAGTAAACTTTATGTCAGAAGTCCGACGACGTGGAGTGGCTCAACATAACAAGATTCGAACACAACGCTCTTTTAACAAAACCTAAAAATTGAAAGAAACGTTGATTAAGGGTCACGACACTGTAGCGCAAAGGTCACATCCACATGAAAGAGACAAACAAAGATACCATTGAGAGTGAACTCTCACAAAATAGACACAACAACAACTACTACTGAAAGATGTGGAGACCACCTCTATTAATACAATACTAAAACAACTAAAAAACAAACAGAAAATATAACCAAAAGGCAAGAAACAATGCCTTTATTAAATTTAAGACAACTATAATGAAACTAAAGAGAGGCTTTAGCCTCGAGGGAAACCTAAAAAGTGACGCATCAATAAATGTCAAATTTAGACCAATATATAGTATTGCATTAGAGAGTGATTTTCTTACTCAAATACTAAATTTTGATATTGGTACACTAAGGGCCTATTTGGTAAAGCTTCCTAAAAGTTGTTTTGGCTTTCTAGGTCTAAAAGTTGCTTCTAAAAATATTTGGATAAATTGTCAGAAGTGTTTTTGACTTTTTAAAAGAGCTTCTAATTAAAACTAGAAAATTTAGCTTTAAAAAAAAACACTTATAAATAGATTTTGAAATTTATACCAGAGTTTAATTAAGGTATTATAAACTTAATTCCAATACTTGTATTCCTTATTAGAAAATTTAAAAGTCATTTTGACCCATTAAACTCTTAATTCAAAACACTTATTAAAAAGCCACAGCTTTTACTTCTCTTCTTTTACTAGCTAAAAACAAAAGCAAAAGCTCGACCAAAATTTAACATTACATTGGAGATGCTTTATTGACAATATGGACAAAATTAGGAAATATAAAAAATTAAATATATTTAGAAGAAAGTGCAAATGCCACAAATTATGTATTGAGAAGTTTTAAACAATTAGATTTAGGGCCCGTTTAGTTTGTTGATTCGAGTTTTTAATTCAAGTTGATATGTGATTTTATGTGAAAGTTTTTTATTGTGGTAAAAAAGTTAGATGTGACTTGATAAGTGTATGAAAATGCACTTAAATTGTTCATAATTGCTAAATAAATTAAGTTTTAATTAAATATTTTCGTGGAATTAATATTTTGTGAAAGTATTTTATTTTAATTTAATTTATTTTGTTTTGTAGGAAAATAAGACACTTGGGCCAAAACTATAAAGAGAAAGAGAAGCCCATCTGAAGCCCATCTAAAGCCCATCAGTCCATCAGCCATCAGCTAGCCGTCCGAGTCAAGCCGAGCCGCTCCTTTCTCCTGAGTGCACCACGTGTCATTTTCTGGCACGCTCGGCCGCGTGGGACCCAGCTGTCCCAGCACACACGCACGCTTGGCACGCACAGCCTTCCCCCTGCGCGAGTCTCCTCCACACGTGCGTCACTCGGTTTTCCTTCCTTCTCCGCGTGGGTCCCACGTTGCAGCAGCTCTCCATTCAACTCCCGCCATGTGTCCATGCAGGACCCAGATGTCAGCTACTTTTTCCTCTCTGCGAATCAACGCGAGCCACGTGTCCAAAGCAGAGCAACGTTTCCTTCCTCAGCGCGTGACACGTGTCCCACCTGTTGGGATTCTTCAGCCCATTTTGTTCCGTTAAATTTCACGGATAACTCAGCCTTCATTCTCCATTAAACCGTGTAAATTCCAATTAATTTGGGATCAACTTTTTTGTATGGTTTTCACTTGCTGATTGAGTTTTCATTTAACATGCCCAGAAACTCTATAAATAAGGGCTATGTTTAGTGTATGAGGGGGTTTGATTTTTAGTCTAAGTTTAGACACATTTTTCTCTAGTTGGTGAGGTTAGAAAGAAACCTATATGTGAAGTGATCTTGAGTGGATTTTGATTCTCCATTTGTTCTTCAAAGTTTATATATTTGAGTGATTAATTTTCTTCTATCTTTTTCTAATTTCTCATATCAATATATTTTATTGTCAACTTTTATATAAATCTAGTCAAGCTCTTTTTATGTGATTGTTGCATGATATTATATATTGGTAGGTATTATTTTATGAGTAGTCTTTTACTACAATATTGCCAACGGTATATTGTCGCTTTTAGATTTCTCATAAGATAATTTTTCCTAGTTCTAAACGTAAGGATTTCAGTTACTGAAATACATTTTTATTCACAAGTTCTTCAAATCTTATTTTCCGATTGATTGTTTGGGATGTGAAACTTTCAATTGAGTAATCTCAAAAATCAAAATCCATTCGGGTGAACCAAGCATATAGGAGAATCTCAACGCCTTACCGGTTTTAATTATATAATTTTCTCATATATTTTTCTTATGCTTAAACTTCTCAACAAAAATTTCATTCTCTTTTATTTTGATTTTATTATTCATCTCTTAACGCTTTTTATTTGCTAATCGTTTCTTGTTCAATTTGTCTCCTCCTCGTGGATATGACTGCCCTAACTTTGCTATCGCGACCGCTTTATTTTTGACACGTTTGGGCGTAATCATGATTGTTTTTGAGAGTTTTTTTATTGTAGTAAAACTCGAATTCTAAATTCAAATCGGTAAAATGAACGAGACATTAGAAGTACTTTTATCATCTCTTTTTTTTTCTTTTTTGCATTTGTTTTCTTGACTTAATTCAACTTGTCCCTAGTTCAAGAAAAATGAGACCCATCTTGTTCCTCCTCAGAGAAGTGAAATCCCAAGCCCATATGATTCATTAGTAACCAAGTGAAAGTTAAAAGTTCTCCACCCTTGCTTGGTTGCTGCGCGTGCACAATCGACCTACAATTCACGGCGGCGTAGGACAATAACTCCACCCACATTCTATCCATTACCTCCCACCATTTCTCCAACCGTTGAAGCTGTTTGGCGAGTATGCACGTATCGAACAACACAGATTTACTCTTAGATGATCCTTTCACAGCAGAAGCTCGCAATTTCGTCTTGACGGAAATGATCTTCTCGCAGGCTTTTGAGTGATCATGAGAAACGAGATTGC